GAATTCCCTTGTACTCTTATTTATATTCCTTGTACTGCATGTTTTTATTATCTCACGCATTAAGAAAGCTTGCTTTCTGGTTCTTGCAAGGCAACGTGCTTCATTTAAATTGGGTAATTACAACATTCTCGTCCAACTGAAACATTCCATAAGTATCAACTAGGGGTGGGTGGGGGGGAAGCGGAACTGTCAAGTTCCGAAAATGAAGACGTGGGTGGAGGCCAAATGGCCTCCAGCCCTCATTATGTAGTCGGGAATAGGCATTCGCAGTTGCCTTGCTTCGATGCAGTCAGCTGCGCTTTCATAATACATATTTTTAGAAAGTGTTACACACTTTCAAAAATTTTCATATTAAGAAAGCTTGCTTTCTGGTTCTTGCAAGGCAACGTGCTTCATTTAAATTGGGTCTTCTGAGACATGTGCGTACGTTGACGAAGTGCAGATTGCAGGGCCGGTTGAGGGCGGTGTCAAGTAATAGCGATTGTTGGTGTCTGACGTTGTGCTCCATGTTGAGGTGGTTATGCGGGTTGCTGCCTACTTAGGTAGATGATTGTGCCGATGGTTGTTGTTGGAGTGGAAGACGGTTCATAATGAATGCTGCGCTGGCATTTGAGGCAGAGAAGATAGTTGCTAAAGACGATCCATGAGGTAGGTCGGAAGCCGACGGTGTTGCGCAAGGACTGATGCTGTGTTTTTCGTGCTTCGTCGTGAATGGTGGGGTGTAGGGCCACATACTAATGACGTGTTAGAAAGAGTCCATGCTCCTCCGTATGTGACATGCATAGGGCAAGCTTGAGTTTGAAAGTGGAGAGGACGGTCCAAGATCAAGGACTTTATTGGGGGAACGGATGTCATTTGGCTGCGTTAATGTTGGTGGGCTCGCCAACAAATGTTAAGTGATCTTCTAAAAGGTGCGTCATGACTTTGTATGACTGAGGGCGTGTAAGTTGCAGACGAACATTGGATGAACGGGACGTCGTCGTAATGAGTGACCGCAAGTGCACCAAGTTCGAAGTTTCCACGACCGGGACGATATTGGATGTTGATAGCCGCATTCGCAAGATTCGTAGATCCAATGGGGTGCCAATTGGTTCGGAAAGAAATAATGTCGCACAACAGTACGTATATGTGGAAGAGCGTGATGAGGTGCCTCGAAGCACGAGTTACTGGCCCCTCGGTTGCTCATCTGTTGGCCTATCAGTGGCTCATCTCTTATCTATTGCTCCTTCCTTGGCCTATTAGTTGCTCATCTCTTGGCCGACCGATTGCTCATCTCTTGGCCCATCGGTTGCTCATCTCTTAGCCCATCGGTTGCTCATCTCTTGTCACATCGGTTGCCCATCTCTTGGCCCATCTGTTGCTCGTCTCTTGGCCCATCGGCTGCTAATCTCATGGCCCATCGGTTGCTCATGGTTTGGCCCATCGGTTGCTCATCACGTGGCCCATCCATCGCGCATCTCTTGGCCCATCGGTTGCTCATCCCTTGGCCCATCAGTTGCTCATCTCTTGGCCCATCAATATCTCATCTCTTGGCTTGGCGCATCGATTGCTCATCTCTTGGCCCATCGGTTCCTCATCTCATGGCCCATCCGCTGGTTATCGATTGGCCCCTCGGTTGCTCATCCCTTGGCCCATCACTTGCTCATCTCTTGGCCCATCGAGATCGTATCTCTTGGCTTGGCCCCTCGGTTGCTCATCTCTAGGCCCATCAGTTGCTCATCTCTTGGCCCATCGATATCTCATCTCTTGGCTTGGCCCATCGGTTGCCCCTCTCTTGGCCCATCAGTTGCTCATCTCTTGGCCCATCGGTATCTTATCTCTTGGCTTGGCCCATCGGTTCCTCGTCTTGTGGCCCATCTGCTGGTCATCTCTTGGCCCCTCGGTTCCTCGTCTTGTGGCCCATCTGCTGGTCATCTCTTGGCCCCTCAGTTGCTCGTCTCTTGGTCTCTCGGTTGCTCATCTGTATGTGGTACTACAGTATGATGGCGAGACAGGACAACGACAACAAGTGCGCCTGCCACCCATGTGAGTCCCGTACTCCTCTCAACACATTGGCTGTAGGTTGTCGAAGTGCGAGCAATTACTGGGTAATTAAATGCAAGTTGCATTGACGTTGGGTACCGTACATGATTATATTTCCCTTATATTGTCAAGAGTGACAACACTGAGGTGCGGTAGGAGTGAATGCGGTGACGGTTAATAGGCATGTTTCTCTCCATGCAACCCTCGTTTGATAACTTGATTGCGTGTAGGTGAGTGACAAAATCAGATCCAATATCTATCCTTGCCACTGGTAGTTGCACACTACCAACCTTACCCCGGTAAGTCCAAACATTTTTTTTTTTTATGTTCACTATACACTGGTGGTACATTCGTATACGAAAACATATGTCCGTCGTAACTGAGCGCGAGAGGCCGAAAGCTTAGTAAGCTTAGTCCAAACATAGCTTGTGGTGTGGTGTGGCTCCAACATCCAACGACAGCAAGGACTGATCCTTTTTTTTTTTTTTTTTTTTTTTTTTTTTTATCATTCATAACTTTAAACATAATAGCCAAGGTTACAACATATCCACCTGCACAATACCGGTGAGTGTGGTTTTCCCAATCTCAGTTTTTGTCCGTTTTCTTTCCCTCTCTAAGGCAGTGGCGCTCTGGGGGGCGGCTCTCAGGCCAGCATGGGGACCCTTGGTCCCCTCCCCCCCTGGGGGACGGCTCTCAGGCCGGCATGGGGACCCTTGGTCCCCTCCACCCCTGGGGGACGGCTCTCAGGCCGGCATGGGGACCCTTGGTCCCCTCCCCCCCTGGGGGACGGCTCTCAGGCCGGCATGGGGACCCTTGGTCCCCTCCCCCCCTGGGGGACGGCTCTCAGGCCGGCATGGGGACCCTTGGTCCCCTCCCCCCCTGGGGGACGGCTCTCAGGCCGGCATGGGGACCCTTGGTCCCCTCCACCCCTTGGGGACGGCTCTCAGGCCGGCATGGGGACCCTTGGTCCCCTCCCCCCCTGGGGGACGGCTCTCAGGCCGGCATGGGGACCCTTGGTCCCCTCCACCCTTGGGGGACGGCTCTCAGGCCAGCATGGGGACCCTTGGTCCTCTCCCCCCCTGGGGGGCGGCTCTCAGGCCAGCATGGGGACCCTTGGTCCCCTCCCCCCCTGGGGGGCGGCTCTCAGGCCAGCATGGGGACCCTTGGTCCCCTCCCTCCCTGAGGGACGGCTCTCAGGCCAGCATGGGGACCCTCAGTCCCCTCCCCCCCTGGGGGACGGCTCTCGGGGCGACGTTGCTGTCAGAATCCCAACCACTTAGACCATTGGGATAAAAGGGCTTGTTTGTGTAGCGGGTGAGTGCGCCCATAACCCCCCCCCCGCCAACGTGCCTGTAACCCTTCCCTAGGATCAATCGGGGAACTCCAATGCACCTCTGAGACCCCCCGCACTGCGATGCCCGAAATGCATACTAGGATTCGAACCCGAGACCTTCGCTCTGATAGCATGTCAGAATCCCAACCACTAGACCATTGGGATAAAAGGGCTTGTTTGTGTAGCGGGTGAGTGCGCCCATAACCCCCCAGGCCAACGTGCCTGTAACCCTTCCCTAGGATCAATCGGGGAACTCCAATGCACCTCTAACAGTTGCGACTCGCGGTCCTCGAGTTCATCGAGAACGTCGTTGGGTGCGCGTGCAGTAGGTCCGGTAATCGTTGCGATTTTCCGCACGAGTGGTGGAGTTTGGTGCGCGTCCCTTCACCATCGACATCACGTGCCCGTTTTTCTGCCACCAAGGAATTAAAATCATATCGGAATTAGTCAGAGATAAGAAACAACAGAAAATGAAAGAAAAAAAAATGAGGAAAAGTCTGAAGAAGATTTGCAGCATATGCATCGCAACACAATGTGTAGGTGAGGTGACAATGTGCGCAGGTGGGTGACGCTGCAGTCAATGGCACAGGCGCTAGAATGGCAGTTTTGTCACTGCTGCGCCTGTGTCCCTTTCGTCCCTGACGCGCTAGTGGCAATATCGCCACTGGCGCAATTGGCGATTTCGCCACAGGCGCGCGTGTGGCGATTTCGTCAGTGGCACGCGCCACTGGCGCCAGTGGCAATTTTGTCACTGGCGCGCGCCACTGGCGCCAGTGGCGATTTTGTCCCTGCTGCGCGCTATTGGCAATTTCGTCTCTGGCGCGTGCCACTGGCGCAAGTGGCGATTTCGTCTCTGGCGCGCCAGTGGCCGTTTCGTCCGGCGCACTTCTGTCTCAGTTGAGCGTACGCCAAGTATAATCACGGGCGCTATCATGTGGCCCTTCAGCGTAAACATCCTAGCTGAAAATATGTCTCGGTGGTTGTTTCTGAAATTGGTAAGGAGATGAACATTGCGAGTGGTTGGACGAGAAGCGGAACTGTCAAGTTCCGAAAATGAAGACGTGGGTGGAGGCCAAATGGCCTCCAGCCCTCATTATGTAGTCGGGAATAGGCATTCGCAGTTGCCTTGCTTCGATGCAGTCAGCTGCGCTTTCATAATACATATTTTTAGAAAGTGTTACACACTTTCAAAAAAAATCATATTTACATTCACTCTGCTATTGAGGTCAAGGGCCCACCACCACCAAATCAGTAGTGTGCGAACCACCACCACCAAATCAGTAGTATGCGAACCACCACCACCAAATCAGTAGTATGCGAACCACCACCACCAAATCAGTAGTATGCGAACCACCACCACCAAATCAGTAGCATGCGAACCACCACCACCAAATCAGTAGTATGCGAACCTTCCTGAGGTGATCCTGAGAACGATCAACTTCTGATCGCAGCACTTTGTTATTCGTTTTCCGAGCAACTCTGTTTTACGACTCATAACAGCCCCCTTGATAATAGGTAATGACAAATAAGTTCAACTATGGACATAATGATTTCTCTTCAAGGTAAGATCAAATGTGGTGTATTCATAGGCTTACAAATAGGTCGAGAAGCTAATTTATGACCTCATTTTGCCGAGATTCGCGCGATGGAGCCGCACCGTCTTTTAGCGTCTCTATCCAAACCGTCCGACCGCCTCTTCCTCTTGCGCGTAGAGGATGACATCGTGCGTTTCCTCTCCTCCCCGTGGGGCTCCGCACCCCCTAACACCCCATTCATTCCGCGACACTCTCTTCCCGTTTCCCCCATCGCCTGCGGAGCTCCGGCCGCAAGCTCCTCTCGAAGCAGCGCGCCGAGCGCTCCAGCACTTAGCGCCGCTGCGCGGTCTCCGGAGCAAGCTGGCAGAGCTGGTTCCGCGCGCCAAGGCGGAGAGGGAGCACTTGCGCGGCGGCGCGTGCGGCCAGGCGCGGAACCATGGACACGTGGCCGCTCCGCACGCGCCAACGGCGAAGCGGGGGAAGGAAGTGGCAGGTTGGTGGTGACTGTAGAAAGTGATACAGCAACGGGGGCCGCGGAAAAGAAGATACGCGCCGAGGTTGAGGCGCGGGTGGGGGCCAGACCTGGGGAGGGAGAGGCGCGGAAAGTGGATGGGGAAGCGGGGGGGGTAGCGGCGCAGGAAGGGGCCAGGGAAGCGGAAAGAAAGGTCTCGCGCGGACGCGGGCATGGGGTTGACGGGGAAGCAGAGCTACGAAACGGGCAGGATGAGGGGAGACTGGCGGAGAGGACAGGGGGAGCGGAGGGGAGTGGGGGAGATGTTGGCGCAAAAGAAATGAGGGGGGAGGCGGAAAGAGGGGAGAGTGACTTGGAGGAAGGAGTGGAAAGTGGGGAGGAGGGGGTGGGGAGTGAGGGGGAGAAGCAAGGGTTTCAGAGGAGGGTGTGCAAGGGGAGAGGGTTTAAGGCGCACCAAGGGGGAGGCGCATGGGCGGCAGCTGCGGCAGCTGATGCGCGGATAGCAGCAGGGCAGCAGGGAACGGCAGGGGTGGCGAATGAGAGTAAAGCAGGCAGCCGCAGAAAGAGTGGGGAAGGATCAGCAAGAGGAGAGAACAGTGCAACCGAAGAGAATTCAGCTGAAAGGGCTGTTGAGGGTGTCACCACAGGGGTCGAATTGGCAGGAGGCGTAAAGACAGGGGGCGTCACGACAGGGGGCATAACGGTAACAGATGGAAGTGAGATGGGAAGGGAAGGAACTGCAAGACGCGCTTCAGACGCGATGCTGGTGTTCCCAAAGCTCCGCTCCTACCATCGCCTGCTCGTGCACTCCGCAGCCAAACGCTTCCGCCTCTCCTCCTCCTCCTACCCTCTTTGGGGTAACACTGGTTACAAGCACGTGTGCTGCAGCCTCACTACGGAGCAACTGGTTAGTAGACCTGCATCAGGAGACCAAGCCAGATTCTGTACTCTTTGGTATAGTTTCGTGCCTCCACTGATGCTGTGTGATTTTATTCCGGGCGGCGGGAGTCGAGAGCAGACCCTTGAGCGGGCGGCACAGGCCTGCCCGGTGCCAAAACGTTTCTCGCTGCCCGTTACTGTTGCTGGAGTAGGGAGGAGAGAGGTGCAGGGTGGGAGAGAGTGGGAGAGACGTGGTGGCGGAATGGATGAGAGCACCAAGGAGCGAAGGGGAGGAGGAGGAGGGAAGTGTGGCGAGCGTGCAGAGAGCGAGGGGGATGAGGTGTCTCTTGTTCCTAAGAGGAAGGGACGGGGAAGGTTCTTATACCATGAGAAGGAGGGAAGCAGTGGGGTAGAAAAGTTAAAGGAGAGGAGTGGGAAGGGGCGAGGAGAGGAAAGGAGTGAGGGGACGAGAGGAGGGGACGATTGGGGTGCAGGAAGAAGAGGGGATGGCGGAGGGAGGGGATTTGGGGAGCACTGGAGGGGTGAGAAAGGAAAAGGGGAGGAGGGGCGGTGGGAGAAGGGCTGTTGGGATGGGGAGAGAGGTGGAGGAGGTGGGGGTAACAGGTGGCATACGAAAGGGAGAGAAGGGAGTGAGAAGGGGGGGAGTGAGAGGCGAGGGGAGGGGAAGGGGTGTGGGAGTGAGGAGAGCAGCGCAGGGCTGACAGCGGCTGAGATGGTGACTCTATCAGAGGAAGATTTCGGGGCAGATGAAGGGCTGGATGGTGTGATTATAACGAGGGCAAGTCATGACTACAGGATGTGGCAGGTGGAGGAGGATAAAAGCAGGGCAGTTGATGAAGGGGATAGGGTGAGAGTGCCTTGGGGCGCCACTGAAGGTTCACATGGTTTGCCTGCAGGTGCCAAGGAGGACTGTGGGAGTGGCGAGGAGTTGGCAGCAGCCGGCACGCGGCACATTCTGGTGGTTCGTGCAGAGCTGTGTGAGCTGGAGAAGGCGATTGAGAAGGTAACTGAAATGGTGATGGGCAGCGGCGTCAAGGGTTTGATGGGTCGAGATGGAGGGAATCACGGTGCTTCTCTTCATCTGAGTGCCGCGGTTGCTGACTCTGATGCTGCTGCTGCATCAGCTACTGTGATCGGGAGGGAGTGCAGCAATGCTGGTGCCGATGCTTCTGCGGCCACAGCTGTTGGCACTCATGCTGGCGTGCAGGTGTTGCATCACAGCCCTGAACCACCGCCTTATGAGTCGCTGCCTGTTGTGCTGGTTCGCAGGGCCGTGCAGGCAACCACAGGGCTGCACGCATCTGTGAGAGCCGTGCCAGTAGCAGCGGCAGAACAAATACAAGGGGCAGGGAAGGAAGCGGAGGGAGAGGAGCGCGAGGAAGCAGCAGAGGCAGCGGGAGTGCAGGGGACAGACAGGGGGTTGGCAGCAGCAGGGACGTTTCTTGTGATATTTGCGTCTGCGGAAATGGCAGGAACGGCTGAGAGGCGGATCCGAGAGGCCAGGCGGCGGGCGAGAAAGGGTGCGGAGAGGAGAAGGGCTGGTTCCGAGGACGATAGCAGCAGCAACAGTAGGGGGTCTCAGGATAAGTGTACGGGTGAACGCTTGGAGGGGTGTGCGGATGGATGCTTGGAGAAGGATGTGGATGCGAGGTTGGTGGGGGCTGTGGCGTGCTGCCTGTCTGTGTCCCGCTTTGAAGACGCGTCAGCTGATGTGCTGGCGAGCTGCTATTGGTCGGTTCCTGAGAGGAGGAAGACCCGCGTGGATGGTGCTGCTGCCGCCCGGCTCTTGTCCAGATCGCTTGTGTGACTTGGTAGATGGAAGTGTAACCGTTGTGTTTATCACATGGGCCAATTCACAGCACACAGCATTCTTCAATGCCCATCCACATCAGCCTACTTTCACACGTACGGTACAACGTTCTAGCCATCTCTTCCTTACGATGCCACATTTTATTTCCAACAAAGTGGCTTTGTTTCCTTGCAACTTGCAAGACAAAGGCCAATCTATGTACCATACCAGTAACAACGGGATGTGCCATGCCATGCCACACTTCTGTTGATTAGGAGCTATAATGCCAATACTGATGCTACTATAATCACAGCATCGAGGCCAATCCTGCACCACTAGTACCTTAGATCCGTGCATTATCCCTCTATCCCAAACAGCACTAGTAGCAGCTCTTTCCCTAAGAGCCCTTCACTTGAATCACATTCACTCTATCCACCAGCGATCCCGGTAGCTCTTTCAGCTGAGTACACCCGTCCAGATCCACCTCCCTCAGACAGGACAAACTGCCCAAGTCGCTGGGCAGAGCCCTTAGCGCCTTGCATCCTTGCAGCGAGACTTGGACAAGTGATGGGAGGGAGAATGGAGAAGGGAGAAAACGTAGCTTGGGCAGACGATTGAGTTTTAGAGAGGAAAGGCAGGTGAAAGAGGAAAGGGAATCTGGAAGACAAGTAATCTTAGGACAGTTGATTATGCTGAGCATTATGAGGGAGGAGAGCAGCGTTAAGGAAGATGGAAGGTTCTCTAAGCTTTTACATGAGTCCAAACCCAACTCATTGAGTGCCTTCAGCTGCCCGAGATTCTCGGGCAGGTGAGTCAGCAGAGGAAGGGTCTTGAGATCGATCTGCTGCAGTTTGGGAAGGGTAACCATGGAGGAGGGGAGGGATGTGATGGCATGGCACTTCTCTAGCAGCAATACTGCTAGCTCTTTCAGATCGCCTAGGTTTTCCGGGAGTGCGGGGAGGTTGGTGTTCACAATGTGAAGGTGCACCAGAGACGACAGGCGCCCCAACCCAGCCTGCCCTATCGATCCAGGCATCCTGGGAAGCACAGGCAGAGGAGCATGAGGTGTGAATTTCTTGTCAGCTTCGGCTCTGTCTGGGGTTTGGGAGAGGGCTGGTGGGGCTATAAGGTGCGTGAGGGATCGGAGGTCGTATAGGTTCAAGTGGAGAAGGCGGTCCAGGGAAAGGAAGGATTCTGGGAGGTAGTGGGCTGACTGGAAGGCGTTTGAGATGATTACTGTCTCTACAGAGCGTGGAAGGGTGATGGGTGCTACTAGTGGGGGTAATGAAGGCGAGGTGGTGCTACGGCTGGCGAGTTTCGAGCTGGTGCAGTCTTCGAGCATGAAGTGATTCAGCCTCGGCAGCAGATGAAGGCCTTCTGGAAGGTTCGTTAGTTTCGGGCAGAAAGAGATCACCAGCTCTTCAAGCTGTGGGAGCGGAGAGGGGATGGCAGCAGAGGAGGCAGCAGCAGCAGATGGGGTGGCAGGAGCAGCAGATGAGGTGGCAGCAGCAGCAGATGAGGTGGCAGCAGCAGCAGATGAGGTGGCAGCAGCAGCAGATGAGGTGGCAGCAGCAGCAGATGAGGTGGCAGCAGCAGCAGATGAGGTGGCAGCAGCAGCAGAAGAGCCTGTAGCTTGGCCATCAGCCCCAGCAGGGAGCAAGAAGGACGGGAAGACCTTCAGCCGCTTGCAGTTCTCCACTTTCAGGACCTTCAGGCTGCGCAGATTGCCCATGCCGCTTGGCAGCTCCTCCAGCATCTCACACCCGTCTATGATCAGCTGCTCGAGGCGCGTGAGCAAGCTGAAGGTCCCAGGAAAGGCACGCAGGGAGCAGGATCCGTCCAGTTCGAACTCCTCGCCTTCGCTCTCATACCCCAGATGAGCGGGCCGTGGGGCGGGTTCGAAATTAACCCCGATTCTTTTGTACGTGTCAGTCGTTTGAAGTATGAGAATCTCCAGGCTCAGCAGCTCCCCGAACCTATCAGGGAGGTACGGCATGGCGCAGTTTAGCAGCTCTAGTCGACGTAGCTTTGACAGATTCTCGAAACCCAGGGGCAAGTCTATGAGCGAGGATCCACCATAGATGAGTAGGGTCTCTAATGAAGAGAGGTTGGTGAACGAGGCGGGGAGCTCAAATAGGTCGTAGCATTCGTATATGGTCAGCTCCTTCAGCTTCCCCAGCTGCCCGAACGAGTCAGGCAGGTGAAGAAGGCGTGTGGAAAACAGCTTCATAGTAACCAAGTTTTGGAGCTGCCCGATGTCCCAGGGCAGGCCGGAAAAATAGCAGCCGTCAAAAATGAGGCTTGTGAGCGCTCCCATGGCGCATACGGACTCGGGAAGGTTCTCAAGATTGGCGCACTCAACCACTTTCAACTCCTTCATCGCCTTAATGAACCCCAGGGAATCCGGAAGAACCGTAAGATGATCAAGGAACTTCAGATGCAGCTGCTGGAGAGCGGAAAACTGACCGATATTGTCAGGGAGCGAGGATAGACGAGGGCAATTGTGGATCTTAAGACTCCGAAGGGCGGGAAATCCCACGGGTTTGCGAGCGGGCAGCTGGCCGAACGAATTGGGAAGCGAAGTGAGAGCAGGCAGATTGTCTAGATGCAGCGTATCTAGGTCGGGCAGCTGAAAAATATTATCTGGTAGCCTGGCGAATCGGGGGCAGTGGTCAAGAGAAAGGTGGGAGAGGGCCGACAGTTGACAGAATGAATCAGGAAGTGAAGCAAGGCTTCGCAGATACGAGAGGGTGAGGATCTTGATGCTACGAAGCTGGCCTAGGTCGCGCGGGAGATGACCTATAGGGCAGTTGCGAAGGGAAAGTTGCTCCAGCGAGGTGAGACACCCGAACGGAATAGGCAGCACGCTCAAAGACTGCGACGCGATGAGTAACTGCTTAAGTCCCAACAAGCTCAACAGCTCCTCTGGTAACCCGGTAACATTATTGAAGCTCATGCTGAGGCGCGTAAGCTGCTGCAGGCGGCTGATGGAAGCTGGGATCTCGCATACACCTTCACCCAGACGTAGATCCAGATTGACCAATCGCGTGCAGGAATTACAGATCTCGGCGACGTCTGAGGCCGAGATCGCTGCAAGGCTGGTCGACAGCTCCCCGCGGCTACTGCCGGCCGGTTGCGTGGACATCACTGGTTGACGGCCGTCCAGATGCATCGTGAGATGGGTCAAGGATGAGCCGCATCCGGTGCAGATGGATCGCACGAGGTGGCGATTTACGACGTCCAATCCTGATTCTCCGAGATGCAGATGACGAAGGTTCGGGAATCCCAAAGTGGGTGAAGCGAGGAGCGAGGCGAGAGCTCGAGAGGAGAAGAAGCGTTTTCGAGGCACGACGATGGCGGGATGCACGGATCTGGCGACGCGCAGCCATCGCTTGCAGACCAGAGCGTGGCGGAAGGCAGTGAGCGACGAGGCCGTGGAGACAGGAGCCTCGGGTAACCCGAACAAGACGCTCTCGCTCGGCAGGTGCTCGTTTAACGCGTTTTCGATCCTCTTTTGCAGAATAGGCTCGTTATTCGTAAGACAGTCGTGGCTATCAAATTTGGTGCCGTTAGATGCGACGAGGAGAAGAATGGTTCCTAGAAGGTCGTCAGTCATACTTGACACGTGACCAGAGGCTCTAAGCTGTGGCTGCTGCTGCGGGATTTCTTCTTGCGTCAGCTCAAGAGTCGCCATACGGCCGTGGATACTAGTCATGATTCTAGGCACTGGATTCCAAGCACTGTACAACTAGTCAGCGAACGGAGAGCACTCCTACCTAGGTGTTCGTGATTCTCTTCGTGAGAGCTAGTAGGGCTTGAACACTGTCGTAGCTTTGCTCTTGATGAACCAGGAGCAGAAAACTTGTCCGTAAGGACCAGGCTCGGCACCTGCAAGAACCTGGTCGGTAAGTATATGCGTAGCTTTGCCGCCAAAATAGTAAGCTGGCGAATGAGCGATCGCCTTTCAGAACGAAAGTGATAAAAAATCCCGAACCTTGTCTACCCTCGCATGATTGGCTAGCGTGGGTTACACAATAGTTTCGTCAGTTCAAAAGAGTCCCTCCCTAGCAGCCAGATCTCCTAGTAAGGCGGCTCCGTTTGTCTCGCTATTAAAAGAAACAGTCTTGCAATGACAAACTTTACTAAACAAGGGGTTTCCTGCTAATAATATTTCTAAAACACATTGGTCGTTCTGCTGATAAGATTAATGACCCTTTTTCAGAGCAGTATTGGATAGGACATGTATGTCTTGAATCCGGGCGATGACGGTGATTTGTGACATGTATGTCGTAAGAAATTGTTAAGCACTGGCCGGCGGCTTTATTGTTGTGACATCTTTGGGGCGAACCACACCCGAGTCCACGAGGAACGGCACTTCTGCTGCCAGCCACGGCCCCAGACCCAAGCACAGCGCATGGGCTATCCCGAACCGAGGACTGCGAGCAAGACACACGGGGCGAGGGGCATGTGGAGGATGGGGGAACATCTGAAAAGTCTTGTGCTGCCAGCCACGGCCCAAGGCCTAAACATATGCATGCGCTATCCCAAACCGACGACTGCCGGGAACGACAAGGGGCAAAGGCTATGATAGGGGATGGGGGAGCGGGGGAAAAGGGGATGGGGGGATGGGAGGGACAACAGGCACAAACTTGATTTTACCTTGTCTCCAAGGGATGGAGAGGTAAGGACGAGTTATATAGGATCAAACAGTAAGGGGTTAGGAGGGGCATGGGGTGAAATGAAGCTATTGATCACAACGCCTTGAAATGCCTTGTGAGACAATTCTGCCCGCCCTGGTAATAGTTGCGCCCGCGAATCAAGTATTGAACAGGCAGACTGACCTGTTCTTTGCCCACAGAGGCTTGAAATGTATCGTCAGACAAATCTTTCCCCCCCGGTACATCTGAAATACAAAATAGAAAGATGGTTTGGAGTTAGGTTTTACAGTGAGCAAGAGTGATGGAAGGAAGTGTGGGACAAGAGAACGAGACCAAAACAGAGAGGTTGATTGATCGACCTGAAAGTTCCTTTCATCCAGTCCCCCAGGAAAATACATTCCTGATCACATGTCGCCTTGCATACCTTGGTTGCCTTGCTGTCCAATTCACGCAGCTCTAGCTTTATAGAGATTCTTTAGGCACCTCAAAACGGGTATTCTGTACGGCAACCCCCCCTCCCTCCCCCTCGTCCCCCCCCCCTTCTCCTCCCCCTCGAGAGGAGTATCTTCCCAGACACCATCGCCCTGCATACCTTGGCTGTCTTGCCATCCAGCTCTGGCAGCTCTAGCTCTGGCGCGGTGGCAGGGTAGGTGACGGGGATGTCAAACTGCAGGTCGAACTCGTACTTGATCAGATTGTACACGTACCTGTCGCGCACACATGAGACGAGAGAGGGAGCCTGTGAGACATGTCAACACTCAAGTGGCTGGGCAGGAGACTGGGATGAACTGCAGGTCGAAGTCACACTTGCTCAGAATGTACACGTTCCTGCCATGCAACACGATTCAGAAGCGACTCAGATCTGGTCAATATCGTACTTGATCAGGTTTGGTCGGACGGGCAGACGGTCAGAAACACAGAGGGAGGGAGGGAGGGGAGGACAGACGGAGAGAGGGAGAGAGGGACACAGGGGGAGAGGGACAGATGAACAGAGGGGGAGAGGGACAGAGGAAGAGAGAGAGAGAGGGACAGAGGAAGAGAGGGAGAGAGACGGACAGAGGGAGGGGGGGAGAGAGGTACAGCGGGACAGTGGGAGAGGGGGACAGAGGAACAGAGTGAGAGAGGGACAAAGGTAAGGAGGGAGAGGGGGAGAGACCGGGAGAGGAACAGAGGGAGTGAGGGAGAGGGCGAGAGAGGGACAGAGGGAGAGGGACAGAGGGAGAGGGACAGAGAAACAGAGGGAGAGATGGGGACTGAGGAAGAGGGGACAGAGGGAGAGGGAGCGAGACGGATAGAGGGAGAGGGGGAGAGAGGTACAACGGGACAGTGGGAGAGAGGGACAGATGAACAGAGTGAGAGAGGGACAGAGGGACAGAGGGACAGAGGGAGTGGGGGAGACAGGGACAGAGGGAGACAGGGAGAGAGGGAGAGAGGAAGAATGGGACAGAGAGGGACAGAGGGACAGAAGAAAAGAGGAAGATTGGGACAGAGGGACGGAGGAAAAGAGGAAGAGTGGGACAGAGGGACGGAGGAAAAGAGGAAGAGTGGGACAGAGGGAGAGAGAAAAAGGAAGACTGGGACAGTGGAACGAAGGAAAAGAGGAAGAGAGGAAGAGTGGGACAGAGGGACTCGTACAATAGATTTGCAAGACTCCCACATAATCACATCCACATCCTTCCAGCCATACAGTTTGGCCCACCCATCCATCCACTCCACCTCACCCACCAATCCACTCCACCCCACCCATCCACTCTACCCCACCCGCCCATCCACTCCACCCCACCCATCCACTCCACCCCACCCGCCCATCCACTCCACCCCACCCGCCCATCCACTCCACCCCACCCGCCCATCCACTCCACCCCACCCGCCCATCCACTCCACCCCACCCGCCCATCCACCCAGCCCCACGCACCAGCATTTGCCCTTCCACTTGGTGCCCTCGGCATTGGCGGGTGCGAGCTGGAACCAGTCGTTGTCCCGTGCCTTGTTCATCTTCACGTACTCGATCAGCGCCTGCCACGCGGGAGAGGCGGGAGAAGGGGGGCAGGGGTGGGGGAGGTGCGTGGGGAGTGGGAGTTGGGTTCCGGGAGACCAAACTGCGGCTGAGGGCAGTCGTTGTCACGCGCCTTGTTCATATTTCACGTACTCTATCAACGCCTGGGAGGCGGGAAGAAGGGGGGAAAGGTGTGGGGGGTTGGAGGGGACGCAGTCCGGTGGGTGGAGGGGAAGAGAGCTGCCAGTGAGGTTACCGGGTTACTCATGCACGCCTTGTTCATCGCCACGTGCCCAAATCAGAGCCTGGGGGGGAAAACGGGTGCGGCGGGAGGGGGGAGTGGGTGGGGGGTTGAGGGCGCGAAGGAGGCCCGAGTTCGGGTGGAAAGAAGGCTGCTCATGCACGCATCCTCACGTACGATGAGAGCGTGGGACGAGGGAAAGGTGCGGGGGGTTTGGAGGAGGGGGAACCTGGATGGAGGGGAAGAAAACAGTGTATCGGTCACTCATGTTCGTTCGGGTCGCTGTTAGGCTCTGACGCACCAACATTCGGAAACTCGTTTTAAGGCGAAATTCGTTCTAAGGCTCGTTTCGACGCACCTGAAACTCCTCCTTGAGTCGCTGCTTCCATTGATCGTCTCGAGGGCCTGCTTTTACGGTCAGCAGCGGGATCTTTTGAACCGTGGATTTGGTCGTGTTATCCCAGCCGTCCATTGGGGTCGTCCGATCTCTATTTGGGGAATCGATAAGCAAAAGCTGACGGCAGGAAGAAGAGAATATGGATGTTCAGGAAAAAATACTTCCGGTTATTATCACACTATGCGCGAATAAGACGGATCTTCACATAAACCAAATACCTGCTACTCTACCTGCTTCAAGGCCCAGCAAATCTTCTGGGAGTGTAGTGAGTGACCTACGGTAGCCTCGAGTGTGTCGGTCGGGGAACATCAGATGTGAAATCTGATGCCGAGCCTGCATCCGACGCTGGAGGAAATTTCGTGGTTTGAACGAAATGTGCTGGCCCTGATTGCGGCCTCACGAATTCACGTTACCATTGATGTCGAACTTTTCCCTAAACTTTTTGAAGTTCGGGCATCTTCACGGAAAAGTTCGAACCTCTTCCGGGGAATTTTTCTTTTAAGCGACGGGCAACTTTTGGCAGTGTTGGGTTCAGAAGTTTTTTTTTTTAACCAGGCTTGCCAGCGCGAAAGTGCTGGCTGGCGAAAACCAGGATTTCGTGCGGACACTTTCCATCCGCAGTAACAGTTCGCCAGGGTTCTGGGTTTTGGGTGGCAAATGTGCACCGTCGCAAATTATGATTGGTGGCAGCACACACTAACCTGGAGGACTCTTGGTGGCATCCGAAGGATCACCCCGCCAGGGTGACGTTGGGGGATCACACAATTTCGAACCCATTTCGGCGTTCGAAATTTAGGGATGGCCTCGACGCCCAACCAACAGCGTGCTGCTCGTGACTACGCAGCCGCTGATGCCGCTGATGGCGCCGACGGGGGCGATCGTCACGCGCGCATCGCGGAGCTGGAGCGCGTGGCGCGCCGGCAGCGGAAGGAGCGGCAGCAGCTGCTGGCGCAGGCCGACGCGGCAGCCGAGCGACTGGCGGCGACCGAAGCGGCGATCGCGCGGTTGCTCGCCGGCGACACTCGTGAACGGCCTTCCGAGCAGCCAGCAGCCGTGCTGGCAGCTTCCGAGAAATTGCCTCCTCAGTCGGATGTAGAGAGTCCGGAGGGGGTGAGGGATCGGTCGCAGCGGGTGGGGCAGAGGCGGGAGTGGGGTGGAGGAGCGAGCCAACGAATTCCACTTGGCGCGCAGGCGGGCATTCCAAAGGAACAGCGGTCGCAGGCTGACGCTGAAACGGAGAGTGACAATAAGGAAGGGAAGAATAGGCGGGACCCGAGCAACGGGCAGATTGTGAGGGGTCATGGTGATGCCGGGCCTGGTAGGGACGCTCGGGAGAACTTGGATGGAAGGTTTGATACGGAGGTTCGGGAGAGCAGCTATGGAAGGTTTGGAAGGGAGGTTCGGGAGAGCGGAGATGGAAGGTTTGGTAGGGAGGTTCGGGATAGCAGGGACAAAAGGTTTGGTAGGGGTGACGTGGGTGGGGACGACAGAGAGGGACGAGAGAGCGGTGCGAGTAGAGGCGGGGATGGGAGTAGAGGCGGGGATGGGAGTAGAGGCGGGGATGGGGACAGAGGTGAGTGGCATGGTGACAAGGGACGACGGGGAGAGGGGGTGGGATTGGGGGATGCGAGGCACAGTGGTGTTGGGGCAAGGGATGTGAGTGCCAGATTCAGGGAGAAGGATGAACATGCGGCTGTGAGGGATGTGCGAGGGACTGGGCTTGCTCGGGATGACGAGGAGAGCATGAGGGAGGAGGGGAGCGCGAGGGAGGAGGGGTGGGAGCGGAAGAGGAGGCGTGAGCAGGGCAGTGAGGAGGAGGGGCGGCGGAAGGTGGGTGGTGGAGGAGGAGAGTTGCGTGAGGAGCAGCGCAGGGTGGCAGAGGGCAGACAGGGGAGCCTGTCTCCCATTCCCCGCCACCATGCTGCCGCCGCCGCTGCTGCTGCTGCTGCTGCTAGCAAGGCGGCAGGGAGCACGGAGAGGGGGAGCGTGCGGGGCGATGAGGGCGGGGGGAGCAGGAAGAACCCCTCACCGCTTGCCCGGTGTGCCAGGAGGGAGGATGACGTGGAGGGTGGCGGCAGAAAGAAGCGGGAATTGTCGGGTGCAGGCGCGGCGCGGCCAGCAGCCGGGATGGCAGGCGGGATGTCGTATGATGACTTTCTGCTGCAGGGGGGGTCGGCCGCACGCGAGGGCCGGAAGGGGCTTCCTGGAATGGAGCAGCGTGGAAAAGAAGAGAAGAAAGCAGGTCAATTCTTGTTTTTTTTTGCCGCTTTTGTCCTAAACGTCTGGTTGTGCTGTCCATGGTTTGTCTCTGTCCATGTTTTGTCTGTGTTCCTGTCGCCCTGCCATCTTGCAAAGCTTGCGGCCCTGTCCTCATGTGTCCTCATGTGTCCTCATGTGTCCTCATGTGTCCTCATGTGTCCTCATGTGGCCTCATGTGTCCTCATGTGTCCTCATGTGTCCTCATGTGTCCTCATGTGTCCTCATGTGTCCTCATGTGTCCTCATGTGTGCTCATGTGTCCACATGTGTCCTCATGTGTCCTCATGTGTGCTCATGTGTGCTCATGTGTGCTCATGTGTGCTCATGTGTCCTCATGTGTCCTCATGTGTCCTCATGTGTGCTCATGTGTCCTCATGTGTGCTCATGTGTCCTCATGTGTCCTCATGTGTCCTCATGTGTCCTCATGTGTCCTCATATGTGCTCATGTGTCCTCATGTGTCCTCATGTGTCCTCATGTGTCCTCATGTGTCCTCATGTGCCCTCATGTGTCCTCATGTGTCCTCATGTGTCCTCATGTGTCCTCATGTGTCCTCATGTGTCCTCATGTGTGCTCATGTGTGCTCATGTGTGCTCATGTGTCCTCATGTGTCCTCATGTGTGCTCATGTGTGCTCATGTGTGCTCATGTGTGCTCATGTGTGCTCATGTGTCCTCATGTGTCCTCATGTGTGCTCATGTGTGCTCATGTGTCCTCATGTGTCCTCATGTGTCCTCATGTGTGCTCATGTGTGCTCATGTGTCCTCATGTGTCCTCATGTGTCCTCATGTGTGCTCATGTGTGCTCATGTGTCCTCATGTGTGCTCATGTGTGCTCATGTGTGCTCATGTGTCCTCATGTGTCCTCATGTGTGCTCATGTGTGCTCGTGTGTCCTCATGTGTGCTCATGTGTCCTCATGTGTCCTCATGTGTGCTCATGTGTGCTCATGTGTCCTCATGTGTCCTCATGTGTGCTCATGTGTGCTCATGTGTCCTCATGTGTCCTCATGTGTCCTCATGTGTCCTCATGTGTGCTCATGTGTGCTCATGTGTCCTCATGTGTGCTCATGTGTGCTCATGTGTGCTCATGTGTCCCCCTCACAGTCCACTGGCCGGTGGGACCTGACCAATCAGAGGAGCTTGTGCAGCTGGTGCGAGGTGAGAGCAGTGAGCAGAGGGCAGCGCGGTGGTTACCACACCTGCTGCCGCCCACATACGTCCCCAGCAACCACCGCCGCCGCCTGCGCTCCATTGAATTCAACCCGGCCAACCCCGCACACTGTGCTGTCAGGTGCGCTCTCTGTTGCTGTCAGGTGGGTTCTCTGTTGCTGTCAGGTGGGCTCTCTGTTGCTGTCAGGTGGGCTCTCTGTTGCTGTCAGGTGGGCTCTCTGTTGCTGTCAGCTGGGCTGACCTAATTCCAAATGCAATGTGAGAGTATTCTCTGGTGCAGTTGCAGTTTCAGGAGTGGGAATGAGGGTTCGTTCCATCCCATACAGCTGACTCCTGTGCAGGACACCTCCTCTTCTTGTTTGTGTGTGAGTGTGAGTGTGTGTGTTTGTGCATGTGATGTCGTATGTGCGTGTGTGCATGTGTGCATGCATGCATGTGCGAGGCGTGCTGCGGTGCACCCCATACCAGCTCGCTGGACGGGACTGTGAGCTTCTGGGCCATCACCGCCTCTGGGTCAGTCGTCTCTCGCCTTCACCACCCTGCCCTTCACCACCCTGCCCTTCACCACCCTGCCCTTCACCACCCTGCCCTTCACCACCCTGCCCTTCACCACCCTGCCCTTCACTCGCTTTGACCCGTGTGCCCTTGACTCGCGTTGACCCGTGTGCCCTTGACTCGCGTTGACCCGTGTGCTCTTGACTCGCGTTGACCCGTGTGCTCCTGACTTGTTAACCATCTCATCCCCCTCGCCGTCCTTCCAACGTGCCCATCGTGCCGCTCCCCCAGGCGCAACATGAGTCGGCGCTTCACAGCGGACTGTGCGCCGAGCAAGCGGTGGCCGGAGGACATAGCATGGCACCCCTCGGGCTCGCACCTGCTGGCCGCATTTGAGGCGGACGGCAAGGCGTGCCAGCTGGCGGCTCTCAGGAATGCACCGAACGTGAGCATCACAGCTGGCAGCTGTGCTGTGCATGCCTCAGTTTCCCCCACACGGACCACCAGCATCCACTTCCTGCCTCCACGTCTTTCACCACCTCCCTTCCACTCCTTCCTCCCTGCCCCATCCCGCTCACCTCACATCTGTTACTCAAGCCCTGCTCCGTGCAATTGTTTGCTCTGTGCCCGTGTGTGCTTCCCCTCCACCCCCGCAGGCGCCCTGTGTGGCGCTGCCAGCGAGGCCGCACCACAAGGGCGTGATCAACAGCATCCGCTACCTGCCGTGGGAGGGGCCGCCCTTTGTGTTCGCCACGGGCGGCAGCGACCACGGGGTGGTGCTGTGGCGCGAGGAGCAGGGTGAAGGGGGTGGCGCAGGGGCAGCAGGGGACCTGCCCAAGCTGACGCCCAAGGTGAGGTGAGGGGGTGGCGAGGGCTTTTGAGGCGCCTCAAAAGGGGGCGGCGCGGGGGCAGCAGGGGACCTGCCCAAGCTGACGCCCAAGGTGAGGGGGTGGCAAGGGCTGTGTGGCTGCCTGGGCTTGTGGAGGGTTGGAGTTTCTGCCCGTCGTGTTACGTGAGTGAGTGGCACACGACACATGGTGGTATGTGTGGTACAAAGGGAGTGCGGGGTTGAAGTGGGCGAAAGGAACCACAGTGCGGTCAGTCCCAGGCACCTCATTCGCTACCTCCTCTTTTGAGACGTCTCAAAAGTCAGTCCCAGGCACCTCATTCGCTACCTCCTCTGCCTCCTTCCCTTCCCCCCATTCCTCCCTTCCCCCACAACACGTCCCCCTCCTGCCCATATGTCCCCATCAACTCCTACGCCCTCCCCATGCGCGTGCAGCTGCTGCACGGCACGCGGCACACAGCGGGTGTGTACGCCACGGAGGGGCTGCGGGGGCGCAGTGTGGTGCTGTCTTTGAGACGTCTCAAAAACAACCTCAATTTACGTCGCCCTCCCCCTCCCTCTGCCCGCGCAGCTGCTGCACGGCACGCGGCACACAGCGGGCGTGTACGCCACGGAGGGGCTGAGAGGGCGCTCGGTGGTGCTGTCGGTGGCGGCAGACAAGCGCATTCTGGGGTGCGACGCGGAGAGGGGCGGCGCGCAGCTGGTGTTCTCCGCCATGCTGGAGTCGCGGCTGACCGACGTGCTCGCCAACCCCGTCGACTTCAACCTCTTCCTTGTGCAGTCGGGGTGGGTCCTGCTGGAGCACAGCACCCTCACGTGCTTGCTCGCGTGCGCTCGTGCTTGCTCATGTGCACTGTTGGAGCAGTGTCACGTGCACTCGTGCTTGCTTGCTTTTGGTGGACCCGTGATGCACTGTGGCATGCCAAGAGGGTGATGAGGGCATGCCAAGAGGGTGATGAGGGCATGCCAAGAGGGTGATGAGGGCATGCCAAGAGGGTGATGAGGGCAGCTGAGTGTTTCTGCTGATTCACATGCTTCACTCACTTGCTGCTCGCTGTCACACTCAAATAAACCCTCACTGTTGTGCAAACAGGGTATTGTGGGCTGCTTCGGGTTCGGATAACTGCAGCCACTCACTGCAGCCACTCACTGCAGCCACTCACTGCAGCCACTCACGGCAGCCACTCACTGCAGCCACTCACTGCAGCCACTCACTGCAGCCACTCACTGTACCCTCAAGCAGGCCTTGGGAGCTTCCTTTCTCGCTCTCAGTAACAGCCGCTAACCACCCACCCCCCCTATTGCACTTTATTCCCTGACCATCCCGTTCTCCTGCTCCACCAATGGCAGCACGCCATGTGAGCAGCTGCGGCTGTACGACTTCCGAGCACCCCGCAAGCAGCAGCACATATTCGGGTGGGAGCAGTCGGCGTCCGACTCACAATCCGCACTCATCTCCTCCTGCTGGGCGCCCAGTGGGCTGCAGGTCAGTGTGGGTTGGGCGGAACCCAAGCTGCACATCTTTTATCATGTGTGCTGGCTCACTGTGGATGCTTTGAGACGTCTCAGCTGCCCCCATTACAGTTGTCTCAAAAGACTTTTTTTTATCACTTGCCTGCCTGCAGGTGAGTGTGGGATCAGCGGATCCCAAGGTGCACATATTTGACGTGCGGTGGGTGGGCATGAAGCCGGCGCTCACAGTGGATGCGCACGACAAGCGGGTCTTCAAGGCCGCCTGGCATCCCACGCAGCCACTCATCGTCTCCATTGCCTCTGATCTCAATGTTGGCCTCAACCCCATTCGCACGTGACTCGTTGGCTGTGTTTACTTGAGCGTTCTTCAGGGGCAAGTTTGCCATGTGGCTCTCTCTCATATCTGCAACTTGAACGCAGTGTGTCAAGTACACATAAATAAATTATGCTCTGCTCTGTCATGTCAAGCAAACAGTTCTTCTGGCCTGTGTACCACTGTTGTTGCCTGAGGCTTGTGTTGGAATTAGTTGTGGTTGCTACCCAGCCATGGAGGAAGCGAACGAGTATGGCTGAGTAGCACGGGGTGGTGTTGAAGCAGACGACTTGGATGGGACTGCCTGGCACCCACATCACATCACATCACCTTCCGAGGTCCCTGTATATCTGGCTAGGCCTCATTTTATTGAAGTTATCATAGCTTCGTTATTGGCTTCCATGCACTCTTTTCATTCACAACGTGATCTCCCGCCTAGAAGACCCGGGGGTCTTATCCTAAATGTGCTCGAACTGGGTTGTGGGGTCTTATGTAATGACATGAAGTGCATAAGACCCCTGGACATCTATTAATTACTGAAAAATGGATTTTGTAGTGCAGTGTTGAAGAAATTCGAAATTTCTGTACTGAATTTCGGATTCCTTCACAGCGCGGAAATTCATTCTCAGATTCTCGCACTCCAGTCTCCCAGATTCCTTTCCGCACGTTCAGAAATGCCTAATAATGACAGGCACGTCAGCATTTGTTGCCTGAAGGGCGGCAAAAACGCGTGATTGATGTAGCATCTTGACTCCCTTGACCACAAATTCGCCTGACAAAGTGAATTTGGTGGTTTTTTGTGTGACTCGCTAACCAGCTCATGAACTAACACCACTCATTATAGCCTAAGGGGGGGTCTTATAATGATTTGGGTCAAAAGACGGGTCCTCTCCAGGACTGACTTAATAAAAGACCCCTGGTCCGGATAGAAGACCCACGGGGCTTTTATGCGGGGGGGTCTTGTAACCGGGAGATCACGGTAACACACGAGCACCAGGGCAATTTTTTGGATTTGACTTACCCTTGCGATCAGTGTAGCACAAGCTCAAAAACCTGATTATCAGTGTGACCCCTTATAAAAAACCCTTTCCATCAGGGTTTTCCGCAATGTTGTAAAATCTACCGTCGCATCAGTGTTCTTAAATAACAAACCCTGGTCAATGGTGGCCCACTGTGTGCCAGCACATGCGTTGTCAAGGCCGAAATTCCGGCTTCGACAGTTGGCAATCGGGAATCCCGGGTTACAGGAAAGGGGGGGTGGGGGTACTGGGGGGCGGGGGGTAGGGTACTCGTTTAAGGGTAAAACTCGTTATGGGATTCGGGAACCCATAGTCATCAGTGTGCCTTAAATGTAAACCCTGGCATATCAGGGAGAACCTAGCTCCTAAAAAAATTACCCGGGGCCATCAGTGTGACTACCAGAAACCACCCTGATTATCAGGGTATCAGGGTGATTTACCCTGGTAAAATTTCCCCTGCTTGGCTGAGCTCCTCTTGTGCGCCGTGAAATAGCACTATCTCCACTCCATGTGTTGACAGCACACAACGGGTGGGTACTGTGACAACGTACGGTAGTAGTAATGCTAATTGTCCTGCTACTGTATATCCACTACAACGCGACCCTGGGTCGTCTGCCCCATCTTCCTATAACAAACCCCCCCCCTGTCACTCCGCTGGCTGTCACTCCCGCCAACTGTCACTCCCGCCAGTGGCCCCGCCTCCCTGCTGCCCTCAGCATCTCCTTGTGCCGTGCAAACGCCAATCTGCCCACGTCCCCAAATAAAGCACCCCCACCACTGCCACCACCAGCACCACCAGCACCACCAGCAGGACCAGGAGCAGCAGCAGCAGGCGGAAAGCTCCCCCCAGCAGCCCTTGTTGCCATGTGCTCCAGACTGAACGAACCCTGCACACCCCCCACCTCATGCACACACGCTGCTTGAGGGATCCCCACTGCCCCAAACAGCCCCCATCTGCCGCCCCTTTGCATGGAAGCTTCCTCATAGCTTGCATTGCCAACGCCGCTGTGCTCTGCTCCACCAATGATGGCGAGACACCTGTCCACACAGAGGTCCAGATCACCAGGAGACGGCTCAGGGGTGACGGAGCGAGATCTGCTGTCAACACGCCTCTCTGACCGGCTCTCAGCGCACTGCCACGGGTGCAGCTCTGCTGCTGATCCCTGTATGCAGCCTCCACATGCCCGGCTGCTCTCAGTGCCCCTCCTTGCCAACCCCGGCACAGCCCTGCCAGCCAACCCCGGCACAGCCCTGCCAGCCAACCCCGGCACAGCCCTGCCAGCCCCCCCAGTGCATGGCTGGTGGAGTGAGCTTGTGGTCTCTGGAGGGGAAACGGGGGGTGGTGGAGTAATACGAGCCGCTGCAGGAGCGGGAATCGCGGCAGTAGATGCAGAAGCATGGCGCACAGTCGCAACAGCACACCCATCCCCTGCCACACCTGCCTTTCCTCTTTCCCCCCCTCCTCCTGTCCCTCCTTTTCCTTTTGTCCCACAGTCGCCCTCATCTCGGTCATCTCCCCCATCTCTCCATCGCCCCGCCTCGATCCCTTGACTCAACCCGCGACTGTCAATAGCGGACCATACAACGGGGCGGGCACCTTCACACGCCGAGCTGCACGCACCACATTCACAGCCTTCCCTGCCAGCAGCACACTCCAGCTCTTCCCCGCCCCTAGCACGCTCACATGCGGCAGCGCCCCTTCCACAAGCCCTGCTTTTGTCCACACCGCTTCCGAAGAACTCTGCTGCACTCAGGCGCCGCCGCCCACCCGCTGTGCTCCTGCCTGCACTCCCTGGCACTGCTGGCAGCACAGGTGGCACGGGCAGCACGGGCGGCACGGGCAGCACGGGTGGCACGGACAGCACGGGCAGCACGGGCAGCAGCGGCAACAGAGGCATCAGAAGCACGGGCGAGTCACTGTTGCCCACCTTTACATGTCCAGCCATCGCCCCACCAGCCTCACCACTCGCCGGACTCGCACACACCACACACTCCACGGCCCCACCCCCACCCCCACCCCCTCTCCCACCAGGCTCATACTTGCCCGCGCTCTCACATGCACCTCCCCCTGCCGCCACCGCCACTGCTTTCACCCGCTTCCTGCGCTGCCCTGCATGCTGTGGGCCCAACGCCCACCCATCGCCTCTGCCGCACCCACTATCCCTGTCGCTGGTTTTTACAGCATCCGCCCTCTCCCCGTCCATCCCTCCACCTCTCGTCTTATCCTCCTCCGCCCCTCCGCACCGCACTGCATCGCTTCCTTCGCCAGCATGCCTCTCTCTCACCACCGCACGCTCCCTCCTCCCGTCCCCACTCTTCCGCGAATCCCTCTCTACCCCTTTCTCCTCCCTCCTCCTTTTCCCCTTCCTCCTCCTTTCCACCTCCCTCCTTTCTCCCTCCTTGCCCCTTTCCCCCTCCCTCCTTTCCCCCTCCCTCCTCCTTTCTCCCTCCCTCCCCACTTCCCCCTCTCTCCTCCGTTCTACCCCCTTCCGCCGATTCCGCTCCGACTCGCGTTCGGCGCGCATCTCCCCTTCCGTCATCATTCTCTCCCGTTTACCCGTCATTCCGCCGTCAATCCTGGCCGGCAAATGGCCCATTTTCCAAACGGAATCCGTCAGAACGAGGTCTATCAGCTCCTCCTTCAAACGCCCGCAACCGGCGGTCGTGCTTTGGGGGGGAGTTTTGGAACCAAGAGCGGCGGAAGAAGCGGCGTTCCTTGCGGCGGAAGTTGCGCGGCGCGTAAATGCGGCGGGAGGGGCAGCGGGAGGTCGGCGCGCGGGGGGAAGGGGGAGGGGGAGCGGGAGGCCGAGGAGGGCGGCGAGCAGCCTAAGCGCGCCGATGGAGAGGCGCCTCAAGCCGGCCACGCGCGGCCGACCCGCTTCCAGCAAGCCACGGCGAAGGTCCTGTGAAGAGCAGAAGTTTACAGAGAAAAAAAGAAAGAGACAGAATTTAAAAAGTCGAGAAAAAAAAGTCAAGCAACACAAGTTGCCTAGGGTTGTCACAACGTTAGAAACGACTCCAGAATAAAAATAGGGGAGTAGAGGAGAGATGTGAAGAGCGTCTGTTACGAAACACACCGCGATCATCGGCGAGGACTGCGCGCTCATCTGCGACGCGATAAGCGCCAACGAGTCAAGCGGAGTAACGTTAGCAGGCAGCCAGACGCGGGTGTTGACGAGATGCAACTCTTCGCCCGCCTTTTTCGCGAATGGCGTTCCCTGCTTCGCCAGGGTGCCCGCGTCGCACGCAAAGGATCGCAGGGCGTCGCCGTAAACAACTTCGTTCGTGAGCCGTCGCACGCCTTCACCTAGCTGCTCCAAGTCTGTTATCTGACAACTACGAGTCCGATTCCTGCTTGCGGCCTTGCGACGCGTTCGAGACTCCATTATCAAAACACGTCGCTGCCAAGACACCGTCGCGTCGCGCGATCCTACAGGCTAGCCGAAAAGAAGTTGCAAGGCTACTCTTTTGACAACACTCACCCTCGCAACAAGCATGCAAGAGCGTTGGTTTGACAAACGTGCAATGTCACACGTGGCTGGGCTGGGGTTGTAGTGCTGAAGGGGCGCTGCGCTTTGCACCGCTGTTAAAAGAGAGAATTACTGTAGAACCATGTTTGGTGATTCCTTCTTACTCGTGTGGCCTCGAATTACTCGAGTGGACACCAGAATTGGTGATAATTACTCGAGTGGCCACGCCTGGGGATTCCCGCGCGCTTTGTTTTTCCCGGCGCATTACCCTACGGGGGTCTGTAGCCCCGAAAGTTTTGCAATGATTATTGCGCGATTTACATTATCCGAAATTTATGTTCGTGACATTATATGACCGCGCCTGATTGGATGCGCGTTGCCCAAAAAGGAACCACGCATATAATTGACCAATCATGCGCGGTCATTAAATCCCGCGCATTGACGCCCGGGCATTGAAGTTTATGATCGAGGAAAAATATGATCGGGCATTAATATATGATGCTCGCGACCATTAATGGCCGCGCATGATTGGTCGATTGTATGCGCGTCCAGTCAGGCGCGGTCATATAGGGTCACGAACATAAAATTCGGATATAAATGATCGCGTAATAACCAAGACAAACATTCGGGGCTACAAACCCCCGTAGGGTGATGCGCTGGGAAAAACAAAGCGTGCGGGAATCCCCTGGCGTGGCCACTCGAGTAATTATCAACAATTTTGGTGGTCACTCGAGTAATTCGAGGCCACGCGAGTAAGAAGGAATCACCGAACATGGCTCTACAGTAATCTCTCCTGTTGAAATTTCAAACTTCGAGAGACAAGATTGTCCCGAAAGTTGCACTCGTTACGCTTGACTTCAGAAATATGAAGTCAGAGGAGACAGAATGACAGGTGTGTGCAATTCTTAATACTGCCTTTCTGTACTTACCCCAAATCTGCTCCTAAATACTCTTAGAGCAACCTTACTACCCAATACAACGCATGTACCATACATCGCTCGAATTTAATAACGAGAACAGGGTCGAAACCATAAGCAATACAGTTGGACTATTCTAAACGTGTCACATAACAGTACACCGGCCGGCACATCTGACATTATGCCTTCATCTTGAGTTGCTAAGCTATATTGTTGTAACCTAACGTAGTGAATCTATCTACCCAACCCTGCTCCTGGAAGTGGCTTGGAATGTTAGCAACACACTCCTCCTGCCTCGTTATTTGCGAGTACACTGCTCATCTTGACGCCCCCTGGTGAAACTGGAAGTTGAATCTGCCACACACAATCAGCTCAGCAGATTCGTGAACTTCATAACAGAATGACTACAAAGCGCTTTCCTCAACCACAACAACGAGTTACACCTATGCTAAGCACGGCAGCACCACATGCAATCCTCCTACCAGGCACATGTTCATCTTCTCCCCCCACACTTCGCCATGACCCACCCACAAGTATTTTCCCATGTCTCCCCTTCATGCACCACACCCCTGCTCACCAGAATTGGATCCTGCTCCTACTCACCAGAATCCGAGCCTGCTGACCAGAATCCGAGCCTGCCCACCAGACTCCGAGCCTACTCACCAGAATCCGAGCCTCACCAGAATCCGAGCCTGCTCACCAGAATCCGAGCCTGCTCACCAGATTCCGAGCCTGCTCACCAGATTCCATTTGTGCTCACCAGGATCAGATCCTGGTCGGTGCCGAACGTCATGCGTGCATCCTCCACTGCTGCCATCGGCACCCACGATGTGCCACTGGTGGGGTGAGGCATGAAAAGGGAGGGACGGCGGAAAGAAGCCGGGAGAAGAAAAGTGCAGGAACAGAGAGAAGAAGAAACGAGAGGAAAGAAGAAAAAATGAAGGGAAGGAAATAAGATAGGGAAGGAGGAGAACAATCAAAAGAGAGGGAAGAAAAATGAGAGGGAACGACAAGACAGGAAGACGAAAAAATAGAGGCAAAGAGAAGAAGGGGAAAAAGTTCGGGAAGAAGAAAAGAATGAGTGGTAGCTGTGGGTAAGTCGATAAGAACGAAAGGGTTTTATGTGACAAAAACCCGTGTGATACCAAGTGGTGTAGGGACAAGAGCACTCATGAGAGGAGAGAGGGAGCACATACCCATGCGAGGAGAGAGGGAGCACATACCCATGCGAGGAGAGAGGGAGCACATACCCATGCGAGGAGAGAGGGAGCACATACCCATGCGAGGAGAGAGGGAGCACATACCCATGCGAGGAGAGAGGGAGCACATACCCATGCGAGGAGAGTGGGAGCACATACCCATGCGAGGAGAGAGGGAGCACATACCCATGCGAGGAGAGAGGGAGCACATACCCATGCGAGGAGAGAGGGAGCACATACCCATGCGAGGAGAGAGGGAGCACATACCCATGCGAGGAGAGAGGGAGCACATACCCATGCGAGGAGAGAGGGAGCACATACCCATGCGAGGAGAGAGGGAGCACATACCCATGCGAGGAGAGAGGGAGCACATACCCATGCGAGGAGAGGGGGAGCACATACCCATGCGAGGAGAGAGGGAGCACATACCCATGCGAGGAGAGAGGGAGCACACACCCATGCGAGGAGAGAGGGAGCACATACCCATGCGAGGAGAGAGGGAGCACACACCCATGCGAGGAGAGAGGGAGCATATACCCATGCGAGGAGAGAGGGAGCACACACCCATGCGAGGAGAGAGGGAGCACATACCCATGCGAGGAGAGAGGGAGCACATACCCATGCGAGGAGAGAGGGAGCACATACCCATGCGAGGAGAGAGGGAGCACATACCCATGCGAGGAGAGAGGGAGCACATACCCATGCGAGGAGAGAGGGAGCACATACCCATGCGAGGAGAGAGGGAGCACATACCCATGCGAGGAGAGAGGGAGCACATACCCATGCGAGGAGAGAGGGAGCACATACCCATGCGAGGAGAGAGGGAGCACATACCCATGCGAGGAGAGAGGGAGCACATACCCATGCGAGGAGAGAGGGAGCACATACCCATGCGAGGAGAGAGGGAGCACATACCCATGCGAGGAGAGTGGGAGCACATACCCATGCGAGGAGAGAGGGAGCACATACCCATGCGAGGAGAGAGGGAGCACATACCCATGCGAGGAGAGAGGGAGCAGAGCACATACCCATGCGAGGAGAGAGGGAGCAGAGCACATACCCATGCGAGGAGAGAGGGAGCACAGCACATACCCATGCGAGGAGAGAGGGAGCACAGCACATACCCATGCGAGGAGAGAGGGAGCAGAGCACATACCCATGCGAGGAGAGAGGGAGCACAGCACATACCCATGCGAGGAGAGAGGGAGCACAGCACATACCCATGCGAGGAGAGAGGGAGCACAGCACATACCCATGCGAGGAGAGAGGGAGCACAGCACATACCCATGCGAGGAGAGAGGGAGCACAGCACATACCCATGCGAGGAGAGAGGGAGCACAGCACATACCCATGCGAGGAGAGAGGGAGCACAGCACATACCCATGCGAGGAGAGAGGGAGCACAGCACATACCCATGCGAGGAGAGAGGGAGCACAGCACATACCCATGCGAGGAGAGAGGGAGCACAGCACATACCCATGCGAGGAGAGAGGGAGCACAGCACATACCCATGCGAGGAGGGGTCGCAGATCTGAAACATCCTCGAGTGGCCGTCAAACCCACAGAGCACCACAAAGTGACCTGAAGGTGCCGGCAAGGGAAGGCGAATCAAGACACGAGCAGGACGGTCGGACATTGTAGAGAGGGCATGAGAGGCATGGGGATGGGACAAAGATCATGCGAGCTGTGGGGTTATACGAGGCAAGGATGGGAGGACGGGATGAAGAAGACGGAGAGAGCAGGTGGGATGAGGAAGCAGGGCAAAGGATTTGAGACAAGAGAGGAGTGGAAGATGGGGGCACGAGGGAGGAGAAGGGACTGGGACATGTGCCACATTTCCCAGAAGGGAGCTGGCGGCATCAGTGCGCTGATGCCGCTAGCTCTCACCAATCCAACCTGCACGCACCAGGACGATACCACCCATCCCTAGCACCCAGCAGCACCCAGCCACACCCAGCAGCACCTAGCAGCACCCAGCCACACACACCCAGCAGCACCCAGCCACACCCAGCAGCACCCAGCAGCTCTCACCAATGTAGCCCGGAGTGGGTCCGCAGCACTCAGGAGGGCATCGCTCTGATGCCAGTGGATGGCTGCGTGGGAGCAGTGGGCGGAGGCATGGAATGGGCGAGCATGGGGAGGCGAGCAGGGGGAGGCGAGCATGGGGAGGCGAGCATGGGGATGGAAATCACATGAGGGGTGGGTGCAACACGATGAATGCTGTTACGGCTAGTGCTGCTGCCTGCTGCGGCGTGCAGAGTGCATGCCACTGATTGACAGCAGAAGAAACAAAGCCGGCCCCCACACGGCGCCACGGCGCAGTGGAGAGCGGTAAAGGATGCTCAAGTGGCATTGCTCGCAGTGGAGAGCGGTAAAGGATGCCAAAGTGGCATGCCTAGGCCTTGCTCACAGGCATCGTCTTCTGACCCCATGTCCTCACCTCTCATTCCCCATTCCTCATCATCACGATCAAGCATCTCAGTGACTCATGCTTATCCACAAAGCCAATGTATGAGTGGATTAGCAGCACATCTGAAGCCAATGTATGAGTGGAATAGCAGCACATCTGAAGCCAATGTATGAGTGGATTAGCAGCACATCTGAAGCCAATGTATGAGTGGATTAGCAGCACATCTGAAGCCAATGTATGAGTGGATTAGCAGCACATCTGAAGCCAATGTATGAGTGGATTAGCAGCACATCTGAAGCCAATGTATGAGTGGATTAGCAGCACATCTGAAGCCAATGTATGAGTGGATTAGCAGCACATCTGAAGCCAATGTATGAGTGGATTAGCAGCACATCTGAAGCCAATGTATGAGTGGATTAGCAGCACATCTGAAGCCAATGTATGAGTGGATTAGCAGCACATCTGAAGCCAATGTGTGAGTGGAATAGCAGCACATCTGAAGCCAATGTATGAGTGGATTAGCAGCACATCTGAAGCAGGGATCAAGTGACTCACGTGATGCTGCGCTTATCCACGAGGGCAATGATGAGGTAACGACCCGAGAGAAGCAGCCAGGCAAGATGCTGAATGCCTATGGACGCACACTGCGGGTGGTGCGGTGCGGTGAGGTGCGGTGTGGTGTGAGGTAGGTTCGGTGGGGTGAGATGAAACAAGAGGGAGTGGAGAGAAATACGGGGATTGAACAAGTAAACATCATGTACTGGGATGAAGCGAGAGAAACAAGCCGGGGAGAATAAGGCAGAGAGCAGCAAGTACACTTGCTCTAGAAAACTGAAATGAAAAAAAGGGATAACAGCAAAATTTCAGAACCCGGCTTGCAGATGCACGAGAAGAGAGGGAGGCTTGGCAGTGCGGAGGGTGGGAGGGCATGACGGGAGGAGGGAGGAGGGGAGGAGGGCAGGAAGGGATGGGGGGAGGAAGGGAGGGGGGAGGAGGGCAGAAGGGAAGCGGGACAGATGGGGCGAAAGACCCTGGTCTGGACACACCAATTGACCTTGCAGGCATGAAAGAACCATCAGCCAGAGGCATGCACACTTCGCTTTCCTACCCCCTCAGCAAGCGACCCCCTCAGCAAGCGACCCCCTCAGCAAGCGACCCCCTCAGCAAGCGACCCCCTCAGCAAGCGACCCACTCGCACCTGAATGCGCACGCCGGCTCGTATGGTGTCGGCAAAGAGGCGATTGACCCTGTCCACATCCCCGGGCATGTTCTCCTGCACGGCCGTGGCGGTGGGCGTGGGGGTGGGACAAAGAGGTGAGTAGAAACAGTGGATCGAACAAAGAGGATCGACCTTGTCCACGTCCCCTGGGATGTTCTCCTGGAGTGAGGGGGGGACGCGAGCGGAGGTGAGGTGAGTGGCAATAGTGGAAACCCACAGATAGAGGTTTGTCTAATGAGAGTCCGCACAGAGACGATTGACCCTGTCCACACCATGTTACTCTCCTGTACGGGTGGGGGGGGAGGTCGGAGACAGAACGACAACAGTGAGTGTGCGAGAAACAGTGAAACACTTGTATTGATGCTTGTGTCTATAGCTCGAGTCGTGGAGTGGAGGGCAGGGTACGGCACAGCATATACAGTGGAGGGCAGAGAGGTTGGCTCCTTGTAGAAGGCGCACCTTGTAGAAGGGCTGGTGGGCGAAGGAGGGGTTGGCGCCGATGGTGACCGTGAGGAACTCCACCCCCACGCCGTGGCGCTGCAGCAGCGCCACCAGGTCTATGCTCCACACACTGCCCATGGTTGGCCCGCAGAGCGCAGGGTGGAGGGGGCAGGGAGCAGGGGCCAGGGGGCAGAGAAAAGAGGGTCCAGGGCGCAGGGCACACGGGGTGTGAGGAGAGAGGTGAGAGGTGAGAGGGATGGTGGGGACATACTGGGCTGGGTGGAGGGGGAGGAGCAAGGCGGTAAGGAGTTATGTCGAAAACGAGCAATTCGTTGTGGAAAAAGTAGGAGGGTGGGGTAGGGGAGTGGGAGAGGGGGAAGGAGCAGGGAAAGGGAGGGGTTGGGTTGGAGGGTAGGCAGACGGGATATGCTTGTTGTCACGTCATCCTGTCATTGTGTTGTGTGTGGCATCATGCTTAGACCACAGAGCATGCCACACATGCGATGCAGTGCAAATCACCCAACATGTCATGCCATGCCATATCATGTGTCATGCCATGCCAACCAATGCCGCCAATCCCTACCTGGAAGAGATTTTCAATCAGACCCACCTGGTGGTGCCGCACTGGCGGTGCAGATGCTGCAGCTCACATGCCTCCCTGCTCCCCCCGGCCCTCCCCCTCCCTGCACCCGCAATTGCACATGCTACTGCTCGCATGTCTCGTGTCGTGTCGGGTACGGCGTCACACCCCTCTTCACCACCTCGCACCGCACAGCCACGGCCCCTCGCCGACCCTCTCCTCACCGGCCCCGCTGCGGCAACCCCTGTGGCATCTGCTGTGCGCATCCATGTGCACCCATTGACACCCTCTCCCACATCCTCTGCACCCGCTGCTGGTTCCAGAGAGTGCCACATGGCGTCACCACCCTCTGCTACACGCGCAGACTCCCTTTCGGACGGGCAGGTACGCTCCACAGCACCTCTCTCTGCCACCGCATCATCCCCTCCGCCCACTTCGTCTCCCTGAAGCGCCTGGGCTGACGTGTCCAAGGAAAGCTCCTCGTGTGGTGCTTCTAACGCAAAGGAGTCTGCTGCTAGCGGGGATATGGCGGGCTGAGCGACGGCTGCTGAAAATCTGTCGGTTGCTACGCCAGTGGCTGCGCTGCTGGGAGGGGGCGTGGCAAAGGCTGTAGCAGCAGCTGTAGCTGGGTCGGTGCCTGTATCTGTAGCTCTGGCTACAAGAGCAGGGGATGCGGCTGTAGCAGGGGCATCAAGTACAGCTGTAGCAGGACCTTGGATCACGGCTGTAGCTGAATGTGCTGCTGGACGATCCACGTTTGATCTTGAGGATCTAGTTCCGGATGTAGCAGCAGGCATGCCAGGAGATGCTCTGATTGGCTGTAGCGAATGGACGGCCGGGATGCTTTGCATGGGCTCGGTTTGGACGGGGTGGATGGGGACTTGGAGCGCCTTGAGCACCATGAGCACGCACGCCACGCCACAGTCCCACGAGTGCTGCTGCCTCACGTGCGGCACCTGACGGAGGCAGACGAGGATGACGTGGGGTGGGAGGGGAGCATCGGGAATTGTGGGCAAACGGGAATGGAGGATAAAGGTGAGACTCCAGCATCGTCTCATCAGGTTGATCGCTCCTAGTGCGGTTCTGAACCGTTTCGGTCGCCAGTCGCAACGAGTCAGGTATGAGACGCAACGAGTTCTCGCAACTGGGTATACATGAGCACTACGAAAAGTGTGCATCCGCGTTCATCTGAAGCAGCCTTCAACCACCACGAACAACCATAACGACAATAGCAACAATGGCGACAATAATGACAGTCGCTCTGAGAGGATCGCCAGCAGACGCAGAGTGAAGGCTGGAAACCGCTTTCGTATGTTCGCTTCCCGCTCATTTCAACGGGAACGCCACGGACGACCACGTGTTCGATTCGACCTAACCAACCTGTATTCTGCGCTCCGACGGTAGTTTCCACGAACCGTCCTCCTCCATCCGCTTTATAAGATCCAGCGCGCTACATCGGACCTCTTCCTCGCTACCCCCCTCCATCCAAGCTCTTGAGCTCCCCTCTCTGTTCTCCATGCTCGGAGCAGCCCGTTTCGTCGCGACTCGCCTCGTCCGAGCCTGTCTCGTCGCAGTTTCGTCGCAGGTTGTGTCGTCGGAGTCTATTTCGCCACAGCCTGTGTCGTTGCAGTCTAAGTCTCTCCTCACCTCCGTACGTGGCAGTCAACTCTCTTCCTGCGTTTGACTAGACTACATTCGAAACACTAGAAGGTTTTGGGAATTGCGAGGATTTACTCGGTGGGTAGGAGGCGGGAAGTTGGGAATTCGTTAGGAGGATCCCATCCCAAGGGGCTGGAGGCTGGTCATGGTGGTGGCTTGGCTGTTCTGTAGATTGGAAATTGGAATGTGCAGTTACATGTTTTGATCGGTGTACATCGTCACCCAGTAAAAGTTATCTTGACACCCGCACATTTGTCTTGTATAATACAAAGTGGAATATTTGTTTTGCTTCATACAATGCTCGAACACAGAGTTTCCACTACTTGGTTTCTATGGCGGTACACTGGGATTTTTTTGGGGCAAGGGGGGTCTGGATGGAGCAGTTGATTGGGATGAGGAGGACGCTTTCTGGAAGAAGCGAGGGGTGAAATCTTCTGCTTTTATACCAAGCTGCTTTTGCAGCCGCAAAACATCATCCTCAGCTCGCCGCAGTCTTTGCCATGCTCGGGCAGAATAAAACCCCATCAAGGCTGCAGGAGTCATGGGATAGGGAGAGGGGAAGGGGGAGAGGGGAAGGGGGAGAGGAGGGAAGATGGGGGGGAGGCTGTGATATGAGAATGTGATCTGAGTGAGGGTGCGCCAAAGAAAATCAGTAGTGGCAACGAAACGAAACAGCTAACACTTTGAAACTAAGACGGTAAATGGATGGATGATGGATGATGGGATGGGATGCCAGTGACACGGCAGCAACACGCAACTTTCAGAAGGAAAGATATCCATACCAAAGGTAACGCCATAGGATGCCCACACATATGGATAGTCCTCGCAGTGCTGACGCATCGCCACGACTGCTGACGTGGCACGATCCAGCAGTGATGATGTGGACGAGTCTGATGTGGGCGAACCTCCTGCAGTGGCCTCATCTCGTGGTGGGCGCTCCATTGCCGGTAAAAGACGACCTACGCCACCCTCTTCCTTTCTTCTCGCGTCAAAACTGACCCACTGCCCGATGGTTTTCGTTCTTGCTGTCCGACCCTCTGCCTGCCCTACATGTGGTTCCTCTGCCCCGGGTGTGCTCCTCTGCCCCGGGTGTGCTCCTCTGCCCCGGGTGTGCTCCTCTGCCCCGGGTGTGCTCCTCTGCCCCGGGTGTGCTCCTCTGCCCCGGGTGTGCTCCTCTGCCCCGGGTGTGCTCCTCTGCCCCGGGTGTGCTCCTCTGCCCCGGGTGTGCTCCTCTGCCCCGGGTGTGCTCCTCTGCCTGACAGTGGGAACGCCGATCAGGCAGCAGCAACAGGAAGCTGAATCGGAACAGCGAACGGCGCAAAGGAGCAAACGTGCAGAGCCCAAAGGAGCTCTGCCACAGGAGGAGCACGCGGATGCCCGGACGACCTGCAGCGAGACAGATTGACATGCGATGAGTCGTGGTGAAATGAGAGCATGAACAGAATGAGTTCACGAGACGAGAGGTGATGCGATAGGAGGAGAGGGGAGGAGAGCGGAGGAGAGGGGGCAAGAGGAGATGAGAGGACGGGAGGGAACATCTTGCACCGTAGGGGGCATGGTGCAAAGGAAGTGAGAGAAATTGCTTGAGCACAGCACATCAAAGCGAAAGAGAGAAAAGGCGGGAAGGGGTCAAAACGGGGTGGGGGCAAGACGGGGCGGCGGAGGACTCGGGGAGAGGGAGGGTAGAGTGGGGGAGGGGATTTGGGAAGAGAGTGAGGGAGGAATGAAGAGGTCCAGAGAGAAAGAGGAAACAGCGGGCGAAGGAAATGCGGGGGAGAAGGGATTAAGAGGCTCGAGCGATAAAGGGAAGGTAATAAGAGAAAGCGAGGCGGCGAAGAGTCGTTGCGACAGTAGCAGGGGTCACGAATCGGGGGAGGGGGAAGAAAGCCGCAGCGCGGACAAGGGGGTACGGGAGCTGCCGCGGGGGCGGGCCGACGGCGTGAGTGGCAGGGGAGGGAGTCGAAAGCGGGGGCGAGAGGGGCGATGGTATGGAGAGTGCAAAGCGAGGGAAGCGCATAACACACACTGTCGGCTTAGAGCGACATGGGCGCGGATCGGAGAGTAGGAATGAGGCGTTCGTGAGGTGAGAAGTGAGGGGTGAGGGCGAGCGCGTGGGGAGCAAGGGCGACGGGCGAGAGAGATCGAGACGAGGGTTGCGATGCGAGGGGGCACGGACTGCCTAGCGATGTGGATTCGCACCTGCTGCGACTGGGGAACGAGGAGCGCTGATGATGCGACGCTGACGATCGATGCGACCAGCGCACAGACGATCCTTGAGGCACCCACCGATCGCACACACGGATCCCGAAGTAGCTGAAACACGGGAATTCGCGGGACAGTTTTGTCTGGGTCAGTAATTTGTAGCGTGACGTTTGGCTGAGGTCTTACGAAGGGGAGGGCGTGTTCAGAAAACGCAGCAGTTTTTGGACCACATCGAGAACCTTGTTGCAAGTCAAGCAAACAAAAATCACAACCTTCGGAGGAACCTTATTTCAGGTGCAGAAGGCTGGTGCGAATCAATCTTTCAACCGCGCGAGCTGAATCGGTGTGGAAAAGCTGAACCGAGCCTGCTCTGTTGGGCGACAGACATGAATCCGCCTCGAGATGTCTGACGCGGGCACAGGCTACTCACCTTATGGTTGGTTAGCGCTGTCGACGGCGCCTTTTGCGCCAAATTGCCTCCAGCAGCTCGGGCAGGCGCTCGTTTTAGGTTTTTGTTTCCGTTGTGCCCCGCAGCGCTCTTTCCGTCGCTGCTGCGGTAACTGCTCGCTAGGATGTCGCACAATCCGAGTCACCTCCTCGTGTATCATGTCGGTCTCCCTCGCCGATCCCCTCATGCCACTTGCGACGGAAACGACCAGCCACGCAAGATCGACAACAAATTCCGCGTGTATCCCGCGCTTATTCGTAATGCACATTTGTTCGTCAATAGCTCATCTCGCCGCTTCCTTCCAGTCATTCATTCATCTCGCCTCTTGCTTCCGCTGATCAATCCATCCAAGCCGTCTTTCAGGGCATGTGTGCTCTTTCCACGTGGCAGGGCTAATTGACACGTGCACTGGGTGTCAGATAATGGTGATCCTGACTCAGCATTTCTTCCCTTGCGTGCGTCCTCTATTTGCTTCTCTGCTTTCCTCCCGTCCTTCATCAACTATTGTAGCCTCTTATACTCTAGACTGCATCCCAAAGACTGCTCACATACACTGCCTCCCTGCCGGTCCCCCCCTTCCGCCTCTTCCCCCCTCGTCTCCACTTCCAAATTCTCACCGCCTTTCGCCACTTTTTGTTGCCACCCGCCTCCACTCCACATGCACAAAGCATGCAACCCACAGGGTCGAATCCCCATGCGTTCCTCCCAGGTTTCCCTTTCGCGCTCCCTTGGTCCGCAATGCTTCCACGCGACCCCTCTGGCAGCTCGTCCGTGGCGGGAAGCCCATAAGGGAGGGACTTACATGTTGAGGCTGGCTGCAATCGTGGAAGCCCATGGCGTGTTCCGGTAAAAAGAAGAGTCTCCGCGACAGCTCACTCTTCAATTCAATCATTAGTCCCTTCCTGCCCCTCCCTGCCCCCTCTCTGCCCCTTCCTGCCCCTTCCTGCCCCTTCCTGCCCCTTCCTGCCCCCTCTCTGCCCCTTCCTGCCCCTTCCTGCCCCTTCCTGCCCCTTCCTGCCCCCTCTCTGCCCCTTCCTGCCCCTTCCTGCCCCTTCCTGCCCCTTCCTGCCCCTTCCTGCCCCTTCCTGCCCCTCCCTGCCCCCTCTCTGCCCCTTCCTGCCCCTTCCTGCCCCTTCCTGCCCCTCCCTGCCCCCTCTCTGCCCCTTCCTGCCCCTTCCTGCCCCTTCCTGCCCCTTCCTGCCCCTCCCTGCCCCCCCCTGCCCCTTCCTGCCCCTCTCTGACACTTACTGACACACACTCTCGCAGATTCTGTCACGTTGTCATGCATACACACAGTTTCTAGAGCCCGTGTTCTTATTGAGGTCACCTTGTTTCATGCCAGCATCCCTTCCTTGCACTTTCACCTGCTTGTTTCGTGTTCTTCCCTGCTTGCTCTCCTGCTTACTTTCCAGCCCGCCTCACATAATCTGGTGGCATGTCTGTCTGTCTGTCTGTCTGTCTGTCTGTCTGCCTGCCTGCCTGCCTGCCTGCCTGCCTGCCTGCCTGCCTGCCTGCCTGCCTGCCTGCCTGCCTGCCTGCCTGCCTGCCTGCCTGCCTGCCTGCCTGCCTGCCTGCCTGCCTGCCTGTCTGTCTGTCTGTCTGTCTGTCTGTCTGTCTGTCTGTCTGCCACGTCCCATTCAAGTGGCCACGGCCCACCAACTTCAAAGCCATCTACCTCCTCCCATCGCCCAACCACCCAGCTCTCCATCCTTTCACCTGCCCTTTTGTCGTTCAGTTTGTCCTCTTCTTCTTTCACGTGCTCTTGTCTATGTCGGTAACTCTCTCCCACACCCCTTTGCTCCACTCACCCTCCTCCACTGCTCACCCTCGTGGCCTTCCTCTGCCTCGCTCTGCCTTCCTCTGCCTACCTCTGCCTACCTCTGCCTACCTCTGCCTACCTCTGCCTACCTCTGCCTACCTCTGCCTACCTCTGCCTACCTCTGCCTACCTCTGCCTACCTCTGCCAACCTCTGCCTACCTCTGCCTACCTCTGCCTACCTCTGCCTACCTCTGCCTACCTCTGCCTACCTCTGCCTACCTCTGCCTACCTCTGCCTACCTCTGCCTACCTCTGCCTACCTCTGCCTACCTCTGCCTACCTCTGCCTACCTCTGCCTACCTCTGCCTACCTCTGCCTACCTCTGCCTACCTCTGTTTACCTCTGCCTACCTCTGCCTACCTCTGCCTACCTGCGCCTACCTGTGCCTCGTCCCACTCTTGCCTTGCCTCTGAACCACCCACTTCCCACCTTCCATCCTCACTCCCCGGCCCGCCATGTCTTGCCTTTGTACCCACCTTTACTATGCCTCCCTTCCATTTCTTTCTTCCTCCACGTCTTCATTGGCCCACGCCTAGGACTCATCTGCTCAGGTTTCTCTTTTTAAAAAAAGCTCCTTGACCACCCACTGTCAGCCATGGCCTTGTAAAGAACCGCAAATGAAGCAAAAAGAATGCTAGCAGTAATGAGCAAGAACATGCAAGCAGTATCCATCCTCTGCCCAATCCTGCTATGACCACCTCCCTACCCATGGCGAGCTCAACTAAGACGAGCGTAGGGCTCTAGCGCATGGCCGCCCAGATCTGCCGCCCTCTCTTCCTCCACCTGCCCGGCAAGCACTTTCAGCTGGCTTGAGCTTGATGGGTCCTGTAACAGGGAAGCAAACCCACTCATGCGCATTCCGAATTGTCAAGCCAGCTCGTCATCCCCTGCACGCCCCCCCACCACTCCCCACTGCCTACTTGCAATCCACCCTCGCCGCTGCACCCTTTTCCTGCGACCCTTGAGCTTCCCATTCGTTACCTCGCACCCACCTCTTTATTATGTACATTATTTACGATATGTACGCCCCACACCTCATTACTCGTCAGCCTTATGCGGTGACCGCTGCGTAATCTGACATCTATCTGCTTCATCAACCTCAATTCATTCCCACCTTCATTTGACAAGCCTTTCGGCTTTCAACCTTCCTGTCTGTTTCTGTCAAAGGTGCAGCATGGTTCAGCATGGTGCGCAACCTTACTCGAATCTCCTAAATCATGTAAACACCTTAGTACTGAAAGAAAGGAGGGCAGGTGAACTGAGACAACTTCTGAGGCGCCTAAATAGGGGCATCATCAAGCACAACCTTACTCAAATCTCCTGAAAGGGTGTATTGTACCGCTTTTGAGTCGACTCAAAAGCAATCTCCTGAAAGGGTGTACCTATATTTTGTTTTGGCTCTCATTCTCCCTCACTCCCTCCCTTCGTCCCAATGCTTGCCAAAGGGAGGTGGTAATTGCTCTGCTGAGATTGAAAGGTGCAAGGTGGGTAGGGCTGATGCAACAAGAGACAGTGGAGGCAATGCGCGTTGCACTCAAAGGGCCGACCTTCCCCTCAACGTAGCCAAGGGTGAGTTGCCTTCCCCCCTGCTGCTATCGCGTGGTTTGGTTACCGGCTCAGCATGCTTGCTTTGGTTACCGGCTCAGCATGCTTGCTTTGGTTACCGGCTCAGCATGCTTGCTTTGGTTACCGGCTCAGCATGCTTGCTTTGGTTACCAGCTCAGCATGCTTGCTTTGGTTACCGGCTCAGCATGCTTGCTTTGGCCGGTCTCCTTGTTTCTTGGTGTTCACTTGATGAGTGGCATTTCAGAGAGTGTGACTGCAGGTGGTGTGAGTGAAAGGAGTGTGATATGCGGGAAAGATGCATGGTCTTGTGAGATGGAGAGCAGAGAGATGGGAGGAAAAGAGGAGAGCGGGGGCGGAGGCGCCAAAGGGAGCAGGAGGGTGGATGGAGGAGCATGGATGGAGGAGCGTGAGAGGAAGTGCAAGGCGAGGAATCTAGAATGGATGGGATGGGGGTGAAGCTGCAGCGATTCTTGAGGCGCCTCAAAAAGCACCTCAATGCTTTAGGATGGATGCGGGTGAAGCTGCAGCAGGAGAGGCTGTGAGCAACAGTGACAGGCCATTATGAGAGGGCTGCAGTGACAGAGAGGCCATGATGAGAGGGCTGCACTGCAACTGGCAGTTGCTTTGCTGGGTGTTGGCCAGCAGGCATGATATGGAAAGCTTATATTGATATTATAAAATAGGATATTCCATATGCTATTATTCGATGTGCTATATATGGAACGAACGACCACCTTATTGTGGCGAAGCATTTGTACACTCTAAGCGATTGGCCAGCAACACCTACATGAACATCATGGCCAGTCCTAAAACAGTAAGTGTGGACCATAACTTGGTCGGTTGGATGTGCCGCCACCTGAAGACTCATCTGCAATAATACGCGGCAGAAAATGTGGAAGAACATGTTGATTAGGTTTGGAGGCAACGGTACTTCGAAAAGGAACAAGGGACAACCAAGGTTTACACATGGACGAAACGTCTTGCTGGGTGTAGACATTGTGGGGGGGAAGCAAGCAACGAGTGGACAAACGTAACGACTGTTACAGTTGTAACAGTTTTCTGCCGCGTTCTTCCCCCCCATAATTCGTTGGGCGGGGAATGAATTATCGTACCGTAGCTGTAGTCGGGCGGGTTTTCAAAGATGGCAGGGGAGGAGCGGATGATAGCACTGGTGGTGGTGTTGATGAGCTTCCCCGAGGTGCCTGGGTTGAGTGGGAGTGCGGGGAGAAGTGGGAATGGGTGTTGGTGAATGCATGTGATGAGAAGAGGAGTAAGGCCAAGAGCGGGGAGTAAGGCCAAGAGCGATCTTGATGTTGGTTAAGGGCGAAGAGGAGGGTGAATTGCAAGTGTTTGGTGAGGATGAATGGAGAGCATGTACAGTTCATGGGCATGTACAGTTCATGGGCACGTACAGTTCATGGGCACGAATCCAATCGTGTTCTTCTCGTGGTTGAAAAGCACGTCGTTGTTGCGCAGCCACGACCCTGCCAGCAGGCCACCAGACGGAAGGAGGTGAGTGCGGCACAACATTGAAGGGAGAGAACCCGATGCCACAGACGCATAATACAATGACTGAACAAGGCTTGGAAACGCACACTAAACAAACAAATGAAGGGGAAAATCACACAGTACAGTGCACACAAAGCAGCCCACATGGATGGCGCATCGCGCACCTCCTATGTATGTGGTGTTGGACTCCCGGTATCCAATGGCTGCTATGCACAGCAGTGTGTCGTTCTGCTTGCATGCAGGCAGTGGGGAGACAGAAGGCGTGAGAACACACATGTGTTGAGATTGAGACACATACGGTACGTAGTCGTTTGCTCTAGTGCTCCGAATGAACGGCAGTAGGCACACACACACACACACGCATGGCATCCACATTGGATCACACGCACACACACAGTGTATAGCACACACACGTGGTGTAAAGCACACACAGATGGTGTAAAGCACACACACATGGTGTAAAGCACACACACATGGTGTAAAGCACACACACATGGTGTAAAGCACACACACATGGTGTAAAGCACACACACATGGTGTAAAGCACACACACATGGTGTAAAGCACACACACATGGTGTAAAGCACACACACATGGTGTAAAGCACACACACATGGTGTAAAGCACACACACATGGTGTAAAGCACACACACATGGTGTAAAGCACACACACATGGTGTAAAGCACACACACATGGTGTATAGCACACACACATGGTGTAAAGCACACACACATGGTGTAAAGCACACACACATGGTGTAAAGCACACACACATGGTGTAAAGCACACACACATGGTGTAAAGCACACACACATGGTGTAAAGCACACACACATGGTGTAAAGCACACATACATAACTTGTAAGAAAAGGATCTGTGAAGCTATGAAGAAAACCATTCCCCGTGTGTGGGGGTGGATTGAAAGCGCACCTTGTGGAAGAGGTAGTTGTAGGCGGGGACGGCCCACAGCAGGTTGGCCGAGAAGTCGAGCTGGAGAGGCGGGTACGTGGATGCCAGCTCTGCACTGGACCTGGTCAGGGCAGGGCAAGGGGGAAGAGCAAGGAGGATAGGAAGTGGGGATGAGCAGGGGGGAAGAGAAGGGGGGGTGAGCAGAGTGGAGGAGCAGGGGGAAGCGGCAAGGGGCAAGTGGCATGAGCAAGTGAAGGCCATGGTGAACAGTTCAACAATCGTGTTGTGTTCAGTGGTGATGGAACTCATGGTGCTGCACTGCCGGATGCCAGTCAGCAGCGTGCATGGATACATGACTCGTTTTGAGACGTCTCAAAACAGCAGCCTGTGTGGCTTGTGAACACGTAATGCCAGCGACTCTTGACTCCACGCCCTGACAATAAGTGCAGGGAATGCGTGAGAGGGGCCCGGACGAGCTCACATGCGTTTGGGCGTGCGCAGGCAGCGGAAGAACCCCGACCACCTCATGGACTGGTTCACTGCCTTCTCCAACTGCATGGGTGAGGATGGGCGTGGATGGACGTGGATGGTGAGGGGTACAGGCAGGTTGTAGGAGGAGGTGGGCAGAAAACAAAAAACGCAAAAAGGCTGACGCAATTACAGAAGAGACAACGGAAGGATGGCTGGCTGTCAGCATAAAGAGCAAGAAAAAACACAGAGCAAATGAAAAGCACTGCTCATGAACGAGAGGAAACGCGAATACAAGCATGTTTAGATCTTGGCAGCGAAACGAGCACAGGAGCAGAGCAGCGGGAGACTGACAGCGGAGGTGAGAGCAGAGAAGATGGGCGCAGGCAGGGCCGTGAATGTCGACCCACTGTCTATCACCGCTCCCCCCGACACCGCCCCTGTAGGCAGCGACCCCCCCGCCGTGCCCCCGCTGCCATCGCCCTCCCCATCCCCCCCGCCACTGTCACCCGCGCCCCCACCTCCCCCCATGTCCGCAGCAGCCCCATCGCCCCCCAAGAAGGAGGTGCCAGAGGCGGGCGTGGAGAGGCCGTGTGGGGGCGGGGCGACGGTGATGGCGGTGGTGCCGTTGGGCAGGGGGATGGGCGCCCAGTTGAGGTAGAGCGCCAGCAGAGGCAGGCGGTACACCGTGCTGGTGGGGTGGAAGGGGCGTGGGGAGAGGCAGATGGGAGGTAGGAGGAGAGGGAGGAAGAGTTGAATGGCGAGTGAGAAGTGTCTTCCTGTCGTTAGGCGGGGGGGTGGGCGATCGGTGGAGGTGCAGGGCGGGCAGGGGCAGGCGGTATACTGTGCTGGGGGGGGTGCGGAAGGGGAGCAGGGGAGTGAGAAGGGGTGGCCTTGGGAAGCCTTGGGAAGGGGAGCAGGGGTTTTCAGGTTGAAGTATAGTGCAAGCAGCGGTAGGCGATACACAGTGCTGAGGGGGGGAGGAAAGAGGGATGGGGAATTGGGGCAATGGGTGTGGTGTGGCGTGCAACAGCAACAGCAACAGCAACAGCAGGGAAGCGCCGTCCAGTCCAGAGTAGCAACCCTCGCCGTCACAGGTAACTAAACTGGGCCAGGGGCGCGGGGACAGTGGCGTTGCTATGCTTGTATCCCTCCCCACAAGAATCCGCAAGCGCCTCACAGGTCATCAGAGGGTGCGAGGGGAGCAGTGACGGTGGCATTAGTAACGGGCAGGCGCCGCCTCCCCAGCACGAGGTGGCCCCCGCGCTGGCGGCCCTCCAGGCAGAGCGAGAAGGACTCGTGCAGCACGCCCTGTGCTGCCAGCTGTGTGACTATAGAGAGCGGGCCGCGGCCCAGCCCCATGACCCCGCTGAGGGACGCCGTGGAGGAGGGCGACGCGAGGCGCCCCGTCTGGTGCACTCCACAGCTGGGGTGGTGGGGGGTTGGGGGGAGGGGGGTGGAGAGACGGGAGGGGGAGAGAGGCGGGGCGTTGAGGGTGAAGGAGACTGTATGCTGCTGCTGGAGGCGCTTGGGTGGGTGTGCATGGAAAAATGTCAGGTGTGAGGCGTTAACGAAAAGGTCAGGTGTGAGGCGTTAAAGAAAAGGGTAGGTGTGAGGCGTTTACAAAAGGTCAGGTGTGAGTGAGATGTATAAAAAAACACAGCAAGAGGGTGGGGAGGGGGGAGGTGGCAGCAAGTCGCTTCATGCAGTGATGTTGGAGGGGGGGAGGCACCCAAAAGCGATGGTGGCGTTGGCGGAGTTATTGGAGGTGGAGTGGAGAGCGAGCGAGTCAAAGAGCACATCCCCCGCCGTGGTGCTGCCGTCCCCATACTGCAGCATGTACTGACACCGCCGGCTCGTGCGCACGCCCCCCACCTGATGAGGGGGACACGATGGAGAGAGGGAATAAGGGGAAAGGAGGAAGGGTCCGAGGGAGAGTGAGAGGCGAATGAGGAGGAGCAAGCCATACGGCAGCATGTGCCATGTCCTTATCAGTATGTGGATGCTGGTGTGGATGCTGGTGTGGATGCTGGTGTGGATGCTGGTGTGGATGCTGGTGTGGATGCTGGTGTGGATGCTGGTGTGGATGCTGGTGTGGAATGCTGGTGTGGATGCTGGTGTGGATGCTGGTGTGGGATGCTGGTGTGGATGCTGGTGTGGATGCTGGTGTGGATGCTGGTGTGGATGCTGGTGTGGATGCTGGTGTGGATGCTGGTGTGGATGCTGGTGTGGATGCTGGTGTGGATGCTGGTGTGGATGCTGGTGTGGATGCTGGTGTGGATGCTGGTGTGGATGCTGGTGTGGATGCTGGTGTGGATGCCTGGTGTGGATGCTGGTGTGGATGCTGGTGTGGATGCTGGTGTGGATGCTGGTGTGGATGCTGGTGTGGATGCTGGTGTGGATGCTGGTGTGGATGCTGGTGTGGATGCTGGTGTGGATGCTGGTGTGGATGCTGGTGTGGATGCTGGTGTGGATGCTGGTGTGGATGCTGGTGTGGATGCTGGTGTGGGATGCTGGTGTGGATGCTGGTGTGGATGCTGGTGTGGATGCTGGTGTGGATGCTGGTGTGGATGCTGGTGTGGATGCTGGTGTGGATGCTGGTGTGGGATGCTGGTGTGGATGCTGGTGTGGATGCTGGTGTGGATGCTGGTGTGGATGCTGGTGTGGATGCTGGTGTGGATGCTGGTGTGGATGCTGGTGTGGATGCTGGTGTGGATGCTGGTGTGGATGCTGGTGTGGATGCTGGTGTGGATGCTGGTGTGGATGCTGGTGTGGGATGCTGGTGTGGATGCTGGTGTGGATGCTGGTGTGGATGCTGGTGGTTGGATGCTGGTGTGGATGCTGGTGTGGATGCTGGTGTGGATGCTGGTGTGGATGCTGGTGTGGATGCTGGTGTGGATGCTGGTGTGGATGCTGGTGTGGATGCTGGTGTGGATGCTGGGTGTGGATGCTGGTGTGGATGCTGGTGTGGATGCTGGTGTGGATGCTGGTGTGGATGCTGGTGTGGATGCTGGTGTGGATGCTGGTGTGGATGCTGGTGTGGATGCTGGTGTGGATGCTGGTGTGGATGCTGGTGTGGATGCTGGTGTGGATGCTGGTGTGGATGCTGGTGTGGATGCTGGTGTGGATGCTGGTGTGGTGCTGGTGTGGATGCTGGTGTGGATGCTGGTGTGGATGCTGGTGTGGATGCTGGTGTGGATGCTGGTGTGGATGCTGGTGTGGATGCTGGTGTGGATGCTGGTGTGGATGCTGGTGTGGATGCTGGTGTGGATGCTGGTGTGGATGCTGGTGTGGATGCTGGTGTGGATGCTGGTGTGGATGCTGGTGTGGATGCTGGTGTGGATGCTGGTGTGGATGCTGGGTGTGGATGCTGGTGTGGGATGCTGGTGTGGATGCTGGTGTGGATGCTGTGTGTGGATGCTGGTGTGGATGCTGGTGTGGATGCTGGTGTGGATGCTGGTGTGGATGCTGGTGTGGGATGCTGGTGTGGATGCTGGTGTGGATGCTGGTGTGGATGCTGGTGTGGATGCTGGTGTGGATGCTGGTGTGGATGCTGGTGTGGATGCTGGTGTGGATGCTGGTGTGGATGCTGGTGTGGATGCTGGTGTGGGATGCTGGTGTGGATGCTGGTGTGGATGCTGGTGTGGATGCTGGTGTGGATGCTGGTGTGGATGCTGGTGTGGATGCTGGTGTGGATGCTGGTGTGGATGCTGGTGTGGATTGCTGGTGTGGATGCTGGTGTGGATGCTGGTGTGGATGCTGGTGTGGATGCTGGTGTGGATTGCTGGTGTGGATGCTGGTGTGGATGCTGGTGTGGATGCTGGTGTGGATGCTGGTGTGGATGCTGGTGTGGATGCTGGTGTGGATGCTGGTGTGGATGCTGGTGTGGATGCTGGTGTGGATGCTGGTGTGGATGCTGGTGTGGATGCTGGTGTGGATGCTGGTGTGGATGCTGGTGTGGATGCTGGTGTGGATGCTGGTGTGGATGCTGGTGTGGATGCTGGTGTGGGATGCTGGTGTGGATGCTGGTGTGGATGCTGGTGTGGATGCTGTGTGGATGCTGGTGTGGATGCTGGTGTGGATGCTGGTGTGGATGCTGGTGTGGATGCTGGTGTGGATGCTGGTGTGGATGCTGGTGTGGATGCTGGTGTGGATGCTGGTGTGGATGCTGGTGTGGATGCTGGTGTGGATGCTGGTGTGGATGCTGGTGTGGATGCTGGTGTGGATGCTGGTGTGGATGCTGGTGTGGATGCTGGTGTGGATGCTGGTGTGGATGCTGGTGTGGATGCTGGTGTGGATGCTGGTGTGGATGCTGGTGTGGATGCTGGTGTGGATGCTGGTGTGGATGCTGGTGTGGATGCTGGTGTGGATGCTGGTGTGGATGCTGGTGTGGATGCTGGTGTGGATGCTGGTGTGGATGCTGGTGTGGATGCTGGTGTGGATGCTGGTGTGGATGCTGGTGTGGATGCTGGTGTGGATGCTGGTGTGGATGCTGGTGTGGATGCTGGTGTTGGATGCTGGTGTGGATGCTGGTGTGGATGCTGGTGTGGATGCTGGTGTGGATGCTGGTGTGGATGCTGGTGTGGATGCTGGTGTGGATGCTGGTGTGGATGCTGGTGTGGATGCTGGTGTGGATGCTGGTGTGGATGCTGGTGTGGATGCTGGTGTGGATGCTGGTGTGGATGCTGGTGTGGATGCTGGTGTGGATGCTGGTGTGGATGCTGGTGTGGATGCTGGTGTGGATGCTGGTGTGGATGCTGGTGTGGATGCTGGTGTGGATGCTGGTGTGGATGCTGGTGTGGATGCTGGTGTGGATGCTGGTGTGGATGCTGGTGTGGATGCTGGTGTGGATGCTGGTGTGGATGCTGGTGTGGATGCTGGTGTGGATGCTGGTGCGGATGCTGGTGTGGATGCTGGTGTGGATGCTGGTGCGGATGCTGGTGTGGATGCTGGTGTGGATGCTGGTGTGGATGCTGGTGTGGATGCTGGTGTGGATGCTGGTTGTGGATGCTGGTGTGGATGCTGGTGTGGATGCTGGTGTGGATGCTGGTGTGGATGCTGGTGTGGATGCTGGTGTGGATGCTGGTGTGGATGCTGGTGTGGATGCTGGTGTGGATGCTGGTGTGGATGCTGGTGTGGATGCTGGTGTGGATGCTGGTGTGGATGCTGGTGTGGATGCTGGTGTGGATGCTGGTGTGGATGCTGGTGTGGATGCTGGTGTGGATGCTGGTGTGGATGCTGGTGTGGATGCTGGTGTGGATGCTGGTGTGGATGCTGGTGTGGATGCTGGTGTGGATGCTGGTGTGGACCCTGGTGTGGATGCTGGTGTGGACCCTGGTGTGGATGCTGGTGTGGATGCTGGTGTGGATGCTGGTGTGGATGCTGGTGTGGATGCTGGTGTGGATGCTGGTGTGGATGCTGGTGTGGATGCTGGTGTGGATGCTGGTGTGGATGCTGGTGTGGATGCTGGTGTGGATGCTGGTGTGGACACTGGTGTGGACACTGGTGTGGATGCTGGTGTGGATGCTGGTGTGGATGCTGGTGTGGACACTGGTGTGGATGCTGGTGTGGACACTGGTGTGGATGCTGGTGTGGACACTGGTGTGGATGCTGGTGTGGATGCTGGTGTGGATGCTGGTGTGGATGCTGGTGTGGACACTGGTGTGGATGCTGGTGTGGATGCTGGTGTGGATGCTGGTGTGGACACTGGTGTGGATGCTGGTGTGGACACTGGTGTGGACACTGGTGTGGATGCTGGTGTGGATGCTGGTGTGGATGCTGGTGTGGATGCTGGTGTGGATGCTGGTGTGGATGCTGGTGTGGATGCTGGTGTGGATGCTGGTGTGGATGCTGGTGTGGACACTGGTGTGGATGCTGGTGTGGACACTGGTGTGGATGCTGGTGTGGATGCTGGTGTGGATGCTGGTGTGGATGCTGGTGTGGACACTGGTGTGGATGCTGGTGTGGATGCTGGTGTGGATGCTGGTGTGGACACTGGTGTGGATGCTGGTGTGGACACTGGTGTGGATGCTGGTGTGGACACTGGTGTGGATGCTGGTGTGGATGCTGGTGTGGATGCTGGTGTGGATGCTGGTGTGGACACTGGTGTGGATGCTGGTGTGGATGCTGGTGTGGATGCTGGTGTGGACACTGGTGTGGATGCTGGTGTGGACACTGGTGTGGATGCTGGTGTGGATGCTGGTGTGGATGCTGGTGTGGATGCTGGTGTGGACACTGGTGTGGATGCTGGTGTGGATGCTGGTGTGGATGCTGGTGTGGACACTGGTGTGGATGCTGGTGTGGATGCTGGTGTGGATGCTGGTGTGGATGCTGGTGTGGACACTGGTGTGGATGCTGGTGTGGATGCTGGTGTGGACACTGGTGTGGATGCTGGTGTGGATGCTGGTGTGGACACTGGTGTGGATGCTGGTGTGGATGCTGGTGTGGACACTGGTGTGGATGCTGGTGTGGATGCTGGTGTGGATGCTGGTGTGGACACTGGTGTGGATGCTGGTGTGGACACTGGTGTGGATGCTGGTGTGGATGCTGGTGTGGATGCTGGTGTGGATGCTGGTGTGGACACTGGTGTGGATGCTGGTGTGGACACTGGTGTGGATGCTGGTGTGGATGCTGGTGTGGATGCTGGTGTGGACACTGGTGTGGATGCTGGTGTGGATGCTGGTGTGGATGCTGGTGTGGACACTGGTGTGGACGCTGGTGTGCACACTGGTGTGGATGCTGGTGTGGATGCTGGTGTGGATGCTGGTGTGGATGCTGGTGTGGATGCTGGTGTGGATGCTGGTGTGGATGCTGGTGTGGATGCTGGTGTGGATGCTGGTGTGGATGCTGGTGTGGATGCTGGTGTGGATGCTGGT